GGTTCTTCGATTCCTTCGTCACAGACCGAGAAGCCGGGCAACTTACTGAAAAATAACACACGACCATAATGTTGGTTTCTCGGAAGGGGCGAAATTTTTTTGTCAATATAGGAGGTATTCTAGTCGCATCAGATGCGTCGCGCTAATGCCGGTGACAAAAGATGCAAGATCTCCTTGTGCTTTGCTTGGCTTTTCTGACGGAGTTGTTCGGATGTCCGAGTTTTCTAAAAACGGATCACAGCTAGTGATGGCTGTTAAAACGCATGCGTGCGCCGTGGAGCACTTGGCTGTCGACCCAACAGGTACAAATACACTTGTGAGAATACCATGCAACAGTTCTCTTCAGATTCTGCTGTTCTTAGCAGGCGCAAGACACTAGCGGCTTAATTGCTTGAAGCAAGCAGTGCGATTCCTCTTTGCCAAAGCTTTCTTGCAAGATTTGCTCAGGCCAGCTCCTCGCAGTGGTGGGAGAAGACGGCCTAGTGTTGTTGCTTAAACTTCAACAGTCTTATCAGGTGGAGATGGAAAAACACAAAAGTGGAGATATGGCGACTTTGAACGGTGTTGAGAGAAGTTGGCAGGTTGAGCCTCTTGGTTTTACGAAGACGCCATCCACTTTGACGAAATTAATCTGGGAACGCCCATTATTGCTGCTCGGCGTAGCAACTGATGCAGCTCTGTTGGCATTGACTGGGCTTGACAAACTTACTGCGGGGGCAGGGTGCGAAAGAGCTGTCCAATGTGGTGATACGGGGCTTGCGGGTGTGAAAAAGAATGTGACCACAGCAGAGAAGGCGATTTCTACAGGGGAACAGAGGAACAGGCGAGAAGCTGACGACGGGAACTCAGACTCTAGTGCGCAAGTGGAACCGCTGGAAGAAGATAGTCATTTAAATGGAGGGACCCCCAGAAATTTAGTTCGGCGCCCCTCAGAAAAAGCAGCCTCGCCGACTGCAGGGGACCCGCTAGACCTGACTCAAGTTCTTTTTTTCAGGCAAGGCCACCAGCGTGTTAAGTCGGCTACGCATCACTTTTGCCTCAGTGCACTCATCGAGTTTAAGTTGTATGATTTCCCCGTGGTGAATATTGCCGACACTTCCAAAGGCTTCCTGAACCTACTGGATGTATTTCCAACTACGCAGGCGCATTGAGTTGAAAATATCAGCTGCAGCCTTACGGAGCTTGGTTCCAGAAGGTGAAGACTCACCAGATCAGGAGGAATTCAGCGGTAGCGATAGCGAGTCGGAACTGGCTTGTGAACGTGAGCCGGATTTTCGTGCAATTACTAATCAAACTAGAAATATGATGAATTCCTCAAGTGGAAGCCTTGAAGAACAGGCCGCAGCAGCGGATGAGACCCGGCGCGTCCTCGCAGCAACGATGAAACAGCAGCAACGCCGTCGTGCGGCGGCTGCAGCAGCTGCAGCTGCAACAGCTCGGCTTACCGCAATAACAACCTCCTGCTTGGAATGTTGCACAGATGCAACGGACCTACTGACCTGGAAAATCAGTAGCAATCAAACAGACAGAAACGTCGCTTCTCCTAATGCTGACAACGAAAGGTGGACCGCCGATAATGCTTTTCTCTTATTTTCCGGTACTTCGAATATGAGGAACGGTATATGGTGCACTCCGATACACACATTATTGGAGTTAGCCGAAAGTCCGACGTCCTCTACCTCCTCGGCAACAAACACGGCTGTCCGTCCGTTAATCTCACTCTACAATGCTCTCCAACAGCCCACGAAGACAAATTACAGTTCTTGCGAGTTTCAGGGGCCTCATATCACTCAACTAGTGGCACTTCCTGAGGAAGGACTGCTTGTGGCTGGCACATCAGACGGAAGAGTGCTGCTTTTTCCCGCTGACACACTGAAGGCTTGTGCAGTGGTGAGGGCTCGTTAGTTGTGTATGCCGACTGAACATCAGAGATGTAAAGTCACGTTGATCCAGAATAACTCCAGCTTTCAAAAACAAATAGCACCAGTTGTGAATGAAGAAAGTGGACAAAGAAGAAGCAATCGTAAATGAAGAATTTTTTTGAAGCTTGTATGTAAAATCATGTGGCCTTTTCCAGGCTAGGGTTTTCGACAGTCATGTTGGGGTCGTCACAAACATTCTCCTGAGGCCAGTGCAGCGCACAAAACAGTGGGCACTAGTTGCTGCAGCCCAGAGCGGAGCGTGGTGGAGGTGCGAATTTGACCTTGGAAGTGTACGTCTTCTCTGCAAGAATTCGCAAGACTACGAAAAAGAGCTCGAGATAGCTAAAGCTGAAAAGGCGAAGGCGGAACGTGTGGAGGCACAGCAGGCACTTCGAAGTGGACCAGCGCAGCAGCAGGCAGAAAAGCACCAGCAGCAGCAGCAATTCCTTCGCCGCTTGCTCATGCCAGATGCAACTTTGTGTGACGATGAGGTTGACGCGGAAGCTACTGCAGCTTCGAGGGGGACAAGCGCTAAGTGCGTCATCATAAGAAAAGTAGCCTTTCTTTATCTTCTTTTTTGGTGTTCAGCCGCGCTGCACCGGTTTAAAGTTGAGTCAAGTAGCACAACGCTTTGCGCATTATAAATAACAAGGGTTTATATATTTTATGCGCGGAAGCGAAACTATCATCTTCATGGCTTACCTTTTGAGACTGAGCAGGAAGACTACAGAGCCAAAGACGCCATGCCCGCTTCTCGTACCGCTGGGGATCTCAGATATGCCAGATACCAATGATACCACATCAAGGTCCGCAGAAATTGCAGAAGCAGAGCACTCAAATGCGCTGGACGCTATACAAGACATAATGGGTTCTCAAGTGCCCACGATTATGGTACGCTTGAGTACTGAACAATTACGGACGCACGAGGCTGCTCTGGCTGCACTTCTCAAGTCACAAATAAAATATTGCTTATGAACAAAGGGCACCTCTGCGCTAATCAGCAATATCAGCGAGGCCGCCTGTAATGTATGGCGAAGAGACGTAAAATGCTGGACCAAAGCTTGTGCAACTCTGCCGATGTAAACAGGAGAAGCAAAGGCTGCAGAGGCAGGAAGAAGCTGATTTTGAGGCTCAGGCTGTAAAGCAACAGGAGAAGTCTAGACTACAGGACATCACACAACGGTTTCAGGCACGCCCACCTCTTTTACGAGCAGCCTCTGGTGGCCGTCAGCGTAGCTGCACCTAAACAACCAAATCCCATCGTAGCACCTCCAGGGGCAACATGCGGACTCAGGGAAATATGTGCAGCTTAAAGCTAAATTGCCTTACTTCCATGTGCCTTGATATAAGTAGCAGGCATTAGTTCGCCGTTGATTTAAGTATAGTTTCGGTGAGGAACAATCCTTCTGCATACAAGGAAAGTTTGTAAGCTCACGAAGCAGACCCGGCCGGTCCTTGCGCTACTTCTGGAGTCCCACAGAGCTTGATAACTCGAGTGAAGAATTTACCTCGTGTCAATTCTCAAGAACTGTTGATGGAGCTTGTAATACGAGGAGACTTGCTGCAGATTGATGAGTTTGAAGCAGCCAAGTCCATAAAGACAGTGGAGCGCAAAATAGAAAGTGCAAGGGAACAGCACCAAACCCTCATAAATACTTTGACAGTATGACTTTAGCCACACGTGCCACTCACCCGCTACTCACAGGCAGCAGCAGAGATTTTACTCGTTGCAGCATGTAGCTTTGCGGCACCCCCAAGGAAGGCCACCTGGCACCAGTGTTACCTGTTGCCGCAGCTCCACCTGCAGATGCTCGGCAAGCTATCCTCATAGTTTGCGTCAAGCTCATGCCTTTACGCCCTGATATGTACAGTTGATGAGTGCATTAAAAGCGCTTGGCTTTTGCAGCGACTTTTTGATGGAGCGTTGGAGACTTTTGCGGCAGCTGGCATCCTCGAAAATCTTTGTGTTTATTCGTTTCCCACAGACCAAACTCCTCTTGTGCGTTAGTTCAAGGATTAGCTAAACAGCGCTAAGCCGCACGTTGAATACTAACTGAGGTTGGGCCAGTCCATTTTTGGCATACCTCCAAGCATTGCCGCGAATACACAATGCCCGGTCATGGACAAACTAGACTGTCACTGTTCGTAGCGTTTGTTTCTTTTGCCTGTATTGCATTTTCTCAGGACACCCAGCAGTTACAAACAGCAGAAGAGGAGCAGTCAACGACACAGGGCGCAAAGAATATTCAAACAGTGCTGGAGGCCGCAAGAGAGCAAGAGCTCAGACGCCTGCTGCTACCCGAGCTGCCAGTATTGTCCCAGACTCCCTGTATGCAGACAGCACACACATCTATCCTCATTTATTTCAAAGGACTTAGGTCGGCTGTTTTATTCTTAGACGTTTTACCAAGACATTTTATCGATGATACATACGCTATTTTTGCGCTTGCAGCTTCCAGCAGACGTCCAACAGCAGATTCAGAGGCACTTAAGGCTGTGAAGGTTCAAGGAATGCAAATACCCATAATTTGCAACGGGCCTGGTACCCTCGTTGCACTTTCTCTACAACCTGAAACTTCCACTAAAACTGCAGGTAAGCACACTGAAATTAGAACTCCCCTCGCTGTTGCGGTGACTCTCCATTGTGTGTCCTCCGCTTGCTTTGGAGGATTCTCAAGTACAGCTTCTATTATCAGGGAATTTTGCCATATGCAATAACAGGAACTATGCCTTGGAGTGATGCACGAAGGCGACGTGTGGAAGAGATGGCAATGCTACTAAGAGCGCAGCCAAAGGAGGATTTTACGGATCCTCGAGATGAATGCCGCATCGCGGAAACAATTAAGAGTTTGAATGCGTACAACCTAACTAACTCTGGAAGCGTTACTGAGGCCTCATTGTAAGAAAACTAGGTAACGAAGTAAAACTTTTTGTAGCAGGGTGTAAGGCAGACAGTACTCTTTATATTTGACTGAACTACACCGTGCGATGGCAAAATTGCAACTGAATGATAGTACATAAGTAGAGTCAAGAAAACGACTTACGGCATCATGTTAGGCGAAATTCGCTTACAGGGCCATGGCTTCACGAAAACGGCAACAAATCGTGGAACTTAGGAAGTGGGCATCAGAGAAAGCTGCTTCATTTAATCGGCGTGTTGCCGTGCTGTCGCAAATGCGCGAGGAGCTCCTCAGGCTATCCTACAGTGTCTTGCACGGAGTGAAAGAGGCTTTGCAGGCAGCTAAGCTGGAGAATTCTCCCGTGTTTTTCCAAGCTAAGGCTTTAGTTCAGGTGGTAGAGAAAGCTATTGCTCAAGAACGATCCAACGAGTCACTATGGATCATCAACAAAGCACAACTAATGTAAGTGCTCGTCACTGTTGGAGCACAGAGGCGTGCCTGCTTCACGTTTCGCTGTCCAGGTATCTTCTTGTGTGGCACAGCGATTCGTTAGAAGGACGACTTCAAGATCTGAAAAACAGCGGGGCGCTGTTCGAGACAGATGCCACGAAGGCAGAGTGTGACGAACTGATTGCTGCACTTGCTGAGGCCCGTCGGCGTCCCGACGGCTTCGCTATCTCATTCGAACACTTGCGTCAAACTGCGTTAGCACCAATTTTCGAATCAAAGAAAGCCAAGCTCGAAGCACATGCCTACGGCTTTGTTGTGTCTGATGCAAAGCTCAATACAAATACAGGTGGAAGTGGTATTAGCAGCAAGGAGTCCAATCTCAGGAAGCAGCTTATGAGCCTCATAGACATCCTCAGGGAATGCGAATTGGCCCAAAACTTCAGTACCGACACAGCATACACTTTGCAAGAATATTCGATGAGCTACGAGCCATACTACATAGATAAATCAACCAACCCCCAGTCATGGCCTTCAGAGAAGAACAGCTGGGCAGCACTTCAGCGTATGCAGGTCCAACATCAAGCGGGCGGATCCATTGAGACAGTATGCCTAGCCAAAGCAGTTATCAGCCTAGCCCAAACTCAGCTTACATCAGGGTGAAACGAATGGTGGAATATAGGTCAGTTGCAAAACGCGGCTTACAGGCTTGGCACGAAATTGCTGTATTTGTACCTGTAGGTCAAGTACGCTCTCTCAGCATTCGACAACGAGCTCCGCGGGCTGCTGAAGGACCGGACAGCGATAAACCAGCAGCTGCTACTTGCTCGCCTAAAGCAGTTAGTACGTCTCCATTCATTTTGTTTGTGTGAAGGCTGCTCTGCCCCAAAAGTCTTCATTCACAGCTTATGCAGCCAAAGCGAAAGCGCAGGTTCTTCCAGCAGACACTCGATGAAGCTATCGCACTCTTTTCTCAGGAGCAGTTCCAAGAGTTGTCAGTTATTGAGTCAATGGAGGCCCGATGTGTGAAGCTCCAGCAAGACCTCTCAACCGAACGGGACGAATGTCAACAGGTGGAAGGTCGCCTTGAAAGTCTTGATGCCTCAATAACTGAAAGGAAACAGGCGATAGAGAGCTGTCACGTGAGTTCATGAGACTACTACATTAAAGTCGGAGCGTGACTCATTGATATGCAACGTATCATGTGAGGCTTAAAAGTTAACTGCATGGCTAGAAATGACTCAGTAGTCATACAACGCGGAAACATCAAAACTGCTGGCTATCGCGCCTCGTGTGTATGCAGGCGACAGAAGTAGACATCCGCCGACGGGTGGCAGAGGCAGTTGGACCCCGCAATCCACAGCAAGCGGCCCTAATGCAAATTTTCGAACGCAACGTACCACTTTTTCACAGCTGCCGAAATTTTCCAACTTAATAACTAATTAATTGTTCGTGTGTTGCATAGCTATCTTGTGCTTTTTCGGTACTGCATTACGGCGCCAGCACAGCTCCCTCTTCACGTTGCGGTACTTGCACGCCACGCCCACTTTCCACGTCTCCTCCGCAGGTGATGCATAGAAGTGCCAAGCCACCTGCGGGCTCATCTGGAGGAGATGCGGAGTCCAGCGACCTTGAAGGTGTGGACCCTGCAATTTCAGCCATCTTCTTTGCACCTTGCTCGCAAAAACGCCCTTTGTGGGCTGTACTCAAAGGGGAGCTGAACGCCAAACCTAGCGCTTTTATAGAGCTTCTGAAGAAACCAAAAAAGCTATTAGGGACTTAAGTGAGGAATACAACGCGCGCAACGGTTACGTTGCGAATGCAGACGAGGTAGATGAGGCAGAGCCCTTGCAGGGGGACTCTGCGGATGTTGAAGAAGATGTTTGCCCTTTGGGGTGCGACATGGCAGTGTACGAGGCAATTTTGGAGCTACGGTGAGCTTCTTAAGCTTTTATTGCACTAAGTAGTAGTTTCTTTGAAGGTCTTTTGGCTAACGGGAGCCGTCCACTGTAGGCCTAAATGGTATAGGGACCTCAAAACGGCAAACGACTCTTCGATTGCAACCCTTCACCGGGAGCTGGATGAGCTGAAGAGGGTACGTTCAGTTCTACAAATCAAACTTCCACTTCCTTGCATCGAAACAAATAGTAATACTGTTGATGCGCATTAGCTGAAAATAGCGGAAATCCCTCAGTCACGAGACTCGGGCTGGGGCGCATACTTAATCGCAACTTATGAGCCACTACTTGGCACTTCCTGCATAGAAAGACGAAACTGCGAAGTTCTAGGGGCGTACATACATGCAAGCTTGAGCATCAATGAACAGAAGGCAAGTTCATCCTCGACTGAGCTGCGCAGCGTTTCTTTCGATGATGTTTTGCCACCCTAAGGAATACACAAAAGTCCAGGCGCTTCAAAAACAGCACGCATTGCGCTACAAATCCGCTGAGACTGCCATCCACAAGTTCCTTAGGGAACTTCAAAGCTCTCTCAACGAGCTGAATACTATAGTTCCGCTCCGCGCATCCCAGGTACCACACGCTGAACGTTGGCAGTGATTCACAAGAACAGTCTTTCCTTGTATTGTCCTGTATGCGCATAACAGTGTGTGTACTTCCAGCACATACTGCTCTACTGCCGTATTAGTACATTTGCAGGAATGTTTCTTAGTCGGTTACCGGCCCTTCTCTTATGCGCGTCGATGGTTTGTGCAAAAAGGGACAAACCAAAAAAGTCTCTACATAAAGTAGTCTGTATGAGTGTTCTTATATGCGACTGTCAGATTCGTTGCTTATCGAATATTGCGGATACATGGCAGCTACCAGACCAGCTAGAAAATGCCGTGCTCTTTAGCTACGAGGGATTCGCCGCTCTGGGACAGCAGTAGGCGGTATCCGCTTCGCCATATATAAAGAATAGGCCCCCGCTGCAGTGGAAGAGCATGAAACCCTTCCAACTTCGCCTTGTGAGCAGAACAATCAGGAGCAATTCTTACATAATCATGAGCCGTGATATTCTCTGCGGAACCTCTCTGCAGAGTAGAAGAGCTCGAGAGGGAAACAGCGGTCGTCGCGGACGATCTCAAGCAGCTTAGGCGCCTATCTGTAATGGCCCAGAAAGAAAATAAACAGGCGCGTGCCTCCAAACACCGTAGTTTCTTTTGCTTTCCCACAGCGACTGTGCATTGAAACCGCCCGAAGAACTTAACAGGCTCAATTGATAAGCTGCACACGAAATTCAATCGCGCATCCTGTACAGGAGGGCCGCCCTTTCCTACGTCTAGCTTGCTATGTATATGCAGAATACGCAACGTCTTTCATCTCTTCGGGAGACGTTTAAAGCTGTGGAGCTTGTAAGATTTGGCGTATCGCTTACCCTAGAGCAGGTTGAAGCTGCTGCCCAAATTGCAGGTCAGGCTGACAGTCGAGGTCGCAGTGAACCCATAAAGCCGGCTTTCGAGAAAGACATCGAAGTAGTGGCCGCCAAACAGGTATGAGGTAAACTAGCGGCCGCGCGCAGGCAGCCCATACAAGGCTTCTACGTCGCGAACACTCTACACCCTTACAGTACAATTGCTGACTCTTCTGAATTTCAGCAACTGTATCGCGTAGAACCTGCTTAGATTCTGTAGCAGCGTGCAGCCAACCACAGAAATAGATTCGATCGATGTTAAATTCCGACTTGTACTAAATTTCCTGCCGTAGGCAGAGCTACGAGAACAGCAACGGCAGTACACGAAGCTCAAGCAACTGCTCCAGGATACAACTAAGCGTCAAACTGATCTGCTGCGCCGTTTCGCCCTCGCCAGAGAGAGCGACTGCTTACTGTCCCAGCAGCTACAAGGGGGGAAGCGCCACAGAGTAAGTGACAATTCGCAGACAGAAACACTCATTTGCTCAATGGTGGGTGAACAGCCTTGAGGGGCGGAAGGCTGCAACATGCGGACCTTTCTCCGCTAAAGCTTTCACTACAAAACACTCTTTTGTGGCGTCAGAACACAAATGACGACGGTGCATTTGCTAGGAGGCGCCTAAACGAACTGGAACGCCTTAAGCAAAAACTTAGCGTCCGGGAAAGTGAACTTCAAAATCTCCAGGAACTTCTCTTACGAATCAGGACCAAAGGCAAGTTGGTACTGAGTACTACCACTTTACACTTCCTAGGCTGCATTATGGATACCTGTGCACCTAAAAATCAAGATTTCGCAGACACTAGTGTGGCTCGCAAGAATACCGCTCAATTCTGCCATTTCGCTCCATTTGTACATGGGATAGGTGTGCACGTGGAGCACTCCATACTCTGGCGCCGAGATACGGCCTTCCTACAAAAGTGACGCAAATAATTTTACCGACAAGGAGCTCGGTTCAAGCCTTAACGACGCGTGAAGTGCTAGGTGACGGCGCTCTGGTGATATTTCTGAAGAACGATGCACGTGCACCTTGGCTAAACACGTGGTGCCGTTATTTCAAAAATACTTGAAGTATCTATGTATGTGAAGGAGTGCTCCAGCTTTTCCCGCATAACCGTAGCCCCGCAGAGCAGCTGCCACGTCAATTCCATAGCCAGTCAACGCATGGAACAAGGCAACTAAAAACAGAATCTGGGGACTACAGGCAACTTCACTCCTTTAAGATTCGAGAAAACGCATGTTCTAAAGCCAATGCCTTTCCCCGACGCTGCAGAGCGATCCCTTGTTCTCCTCCCGCAGTTTCCATTGAATTTATAGGCTACGCATCAAACCCAACTCATATCCCAACTACTTGCATCATTTTTAGCAAGGTTACGCGGGTAAACAGAAAAAATGTTCGAGAAGGTGGAAATAATCATGCGTGGCATAATCCATCCATGATGCTCAACAGAAAAGCCAATAGCCGTCTCAAGTATGCCGCTCCGAAACACGAAGTTCCCTTCACATGCGACACCATGGAGAGCTTGGCCCCGGGGGAACAAAAAGCTGGGTTATGAACTGCAGGTTCCATGCAATTTCCGTGTGGATCGAGAAGCGGGTTCGACTGGCTGTCCCCTGCTATTCAGTTGGGTCTTAAAGATACCTGCTTCCAGCGCGCCTTTTAAATATAACATTGCAGTGTGAAAAATGTTTCTCTTAGTTGAAAACAAGCAAGCTGTGACACCCAAAACAGCTAGCCTAGGTGAAACCCGTGGCCCCCTCGGTTCACACTGAGCTGCTGCCAGTGTGTGATTTATATGTTCATTCAAAATGTTTTTCTCAAACTCCTCAACACTGTTTCTTCATCTAAAAACGAAACAGATTCAATGATTCAGCCGTGCACGGGCGCCGCCCGCACAATGCATGCAAAGACCACCGCAGGGGCTTCCTTTACAGGTGAAGTACACAGACCCGTACTGATTTCAGCATTTTTAGACGTATGCTCTGTACTCTTCGCCAAAAGTAAACTGCTAACGTATATTGCTTTATTTTGAAAGATATGATGGGTAGCGTGGAGAAACTTGAGGATGTTCAAGGTGCCTCAAAGTTGCACAACATAGAGAAGAGATGATTCATTCGCTTCCATGAGAACCACATAGAGGGAAACTTGCACGGCACCGCAAGGACATAACAGAGGCAGGTTTCAAATTAATAGAGTCTGATTCACTTGAGAATGTCGCACCAAAAGACCTAGGCTCCCTGAATTGCGTTGCTGACGTCGTAAGCTCTGCTCTGCGGCGGTAGGGCAAACTCATTTTGCATCAAATTGAATAGTGCTACCATGCTGCAATTTTGCGCAAAGTAATATACATCAGCAAATCGAGCAGCATACAATGCCCGCAAAGTTTGTCAGATCTCCCCACAGTGTGTAACATCCAGACCCCGATTGTATTCGGTAGCTGCTAGAAGTACGGTGGTCCTTACGACTTAAGAGAAAGATGGCAAGAAACAGCAACGACCCGCACCAGCAAGTGGAGGATTCATCCTGCTTATTTTTGCCCCTCAGCAGTCGCTTCCCTGCGAAGGCGGCAGAAGAACTGATGAAGAGCCTGCTTGAGTCCAGGCTGAAAGGGGAAACATACTCAGCTGATCAGGCTTGTCAGCTCTCAAAGAATCTGGCAATTTCATTGCGAGATGCTCTTACTGCCCTTTTGAGACCGAAATACAGGATATGTATCACAGTTGACCTGGGGGAAGACTGCGGCCAAGGTGTTCGAGTTGGCTGTCGCTGCTTGTGGGATAAGAAGACAGACTCATTCGCCAGTGCGGTTTATAGAGATACAGCGTTCTTCTGCGTTGCCACTGCCTATGCCGTGTATCATTACTAAACTTCAATTATCTGCACTCTGCCCACAAGAAAGCAATGACATATTGAGAGCCGTTGGGACAATCAAGTTGATCAAGCGAGGAGTACAGAATCAAAGGCCCAAGAATGCTGAGCTTCCGTATCTGAGCGCTACTGCTTCTCGTATTCACACATTGACGACGCGCAAATTGAATTTTCTGTCCATTGCAGGCAGCAAGAAACAGTGGAAATCCCTTGGCTTTTTCTCCGTGTACAACAAGTAGAAATCATGGTTTATTATGTGTTCTACCGTACTTCACAGTCGAGCAACAGTGCACCTTCTAAGCGTCACTACATCAGCTTTGGGTGATTCATTTTCATCAGGGATAAGCTTGCTGCATTCTTCAAAATTGTAATCAGCTGACTGATGGCGTGCTACAGCTGCCTCTTTGATGACTGCATCTGCACAGTATTATTCGACTCTACAGAAGCGCACATAAGAGAGCGTAGCCCTAATAGTAGTGCTCTTCCGTTCATTCCTGGCAAAGAGCTCGAACAAAACCTGCAAGGCTGTGCTCGCCTTTCAAATATTTCTTTGCTACTGCGCATCTGAAAGCTCCCTTCGGCTGCCTGTCAGCTTGCTGATGCAGTGCGACCCGTCAAAGTAACTTCCCTTTTTGTAGCACGAAAATTTGCTGGACGTGCTCAAGGTGTTGTGTAAATGGGATCTGGCTTAGCCAACACTTTGTGTGACTCTCGTGGTGCCACCTTGCTGGCTTGATGCACTCAAAGCTTACATTCACCCAATGTAGCTAGCAAACTTATTTCAAAATCGGATTGCATTAGTTGCCTCTCAGCTAGAATTAGATGTTCCATGCCAATCCGTTTCGTTCTTCCTTTTGCGTTGCCTGTTGAAAGGGATGTCTCATGGCAGTCACGTGGGGGGCTCTTTAGAAATTTCCCGTTGCACTTTCAGTTGTAAGACATTATGGCCTCGGCAGATATAGATAGAGTTGAAGGACTAGAAGTGTCTTTAGTGAGCTATCACCTTTGTCGAACCCTCTTCACTTCACCACCTGCTCCACGCTGAGCTTGTGGTCAGGAAGCCCGAGTAGCCTTGCTGCAAGTTGCACTCGCAACTTGGGAAGGACGTGCACAATGAACTCGCAGTGTGAACGCTATAGTATTTGGCAGCAATGGTTGGCCCGGATCTAACACGTCAGCGAACGTGTACCTGCAGTAACGCGTCTCAAGTGACTCCTCCGTTTGCAATATTGTGGCCCGCAGATTTTTTGACAGTCCTGCGTCACAGTCATTATCTACTTTGGTCAGCTTTGTTTTTTATAGTGCACAGTTATTTAAGTAGTGCAGACTCATTCAAGTATTCAAGCATGCAAGTGTGCAGCAACCAACATTTACTAGTAATATTTTGGCTGAAACTGGCGAGCAAAAGTACACTTTCCAGCATACAGGCAGGCCGGTAGTCACTCTCAAGAGCTTCGCACAAGTTGCCAGATACAACAACCACTTACTTCAAAATGGAAATCTCACCGAGCTGCTATTCACCTGGAAAATTAGTAGATGGGTACACACGTGTGGGCATGGTGAGGTGTCTCCACGTAGGCAAATTTGCGCCCCTGCATCCACACTGCAACAAACTCGTAGTGTTGTTTTGACGGCTTTTTTGCACTTGCAGTGGCGGACTAATCTGGTGATGCAAGTTTTAGCTTGCGCTCCCGATTACTCTCGTATTGTACTCCGTGCCTTTCCTTCCAGTGTGCTACTGCCTTGCATCTGGAGCTGCCAAAGGAACACTGATACCAGGAGCTGTGCTGGTGCGCTGACCTTTCATCTGATAGCGCTTTTATGCCTGAGTTGAAGGAGCTCCACCGTCAGTTTGGGCAGGCAACCTAGACACCTCTACAGAAAATGAGGCTAAGCAGTCGTAGTACGGTTTCAACAAATACGGAAAGTGTCAAAGGCTAAAACTATCCTTGGTGAACTAATTCCTTTGCCGTAGCTCCCCCATTTCACAATCCTGCTCTGCGCTGTGCTTGCGGTCAGGAAGCCTGAGTGACCTTCTTGACATTGTAGTGTTCGATCCGACAGCGTACTTGATATGACGCAATCAGTGCCATTATATAGCGTGGTTTTTATTTTACATTCTAATTTCTACACAAAAAACTATGGATTAGGTGGAGGCTGGCCTAGCTGGATGGTGTCCACTGGTGGAGCGTGTCTTGGACCCCTCAGTGTGTCTCCCACATGGCGTCGCAGGGCAAGAGGTCATAAGAGACAAAAGTTGAATCCGGTTTTAATTTACAGTTTTTTTTAATTGCTAAGGCATGCATATGACAACTTCAGAGCGGCTGCCCTGCAGTTCCAGTCTCGCAGCCTGTGCATGCCAATATTTCACTTTGACTCCTAGTTGCAAGTTACTTGTTAACTATCAGAGGCTGGCGAGAAGGCGCAGCAAAAGCAGCAGCACTGTGTAAATACAGGACCTACATAGGGCAAGAAGGAATACCTAGCGAAGAAGATAAACGAAAGTATCACCAAAACAATAGTCCTAGTATTGTGGTTCAAATGTGCAGCATGAGGGTCTCGTTCGAGGGAATGAGCAAAGCAAAAAATACAGACAGGAGCTGAGGAATCACCTATACGAATTTCTTTTCTGCGTGAAGACGAAAGACCACAGGGACTAGTGTGCACCAAAGTGTCCTCGGATCTGAGAGGACGTGGATGTGCTTTTGTGGGCCAGCAGTTTATTCATTTACTCCCAATCACATGGTGCTTTCGTCCTCTACTGATTTGCCTGTCGAGCGTCTGGGCAGAAAGAAACATTGCTCATTTCCGAACAGTTAAATTTGTTGACGATGCTACGAGAACAGCTTAACCGCTTTGAACGTGTCAAGATGTTCCAAGGGCACGTCTGGCACACCAAAACACTCCGCAGATTGTCAAAATGTCAACTGCTGCTGCTTGGATGCTTGCTCGTTCTACCGTGTGCAGAACCAGATGTGCTCGGAGCAGGAAATGCTGCGCAGGATTATCTCGCGCAGCAACAGCAACAGTCTTTGGCCTTTTTGTCGGACGATGCGAGACACATTGGGGAGCAAAAACCGGTTTCAGCAAATGCCAAGGACAGTTTAGCAAGCGTGGATGACCAAAGAGGCATTGTCCCGGGAATGAACGGGAAAGACAACCACGATAAAATTAGTGTAACAACTAGTGACGAAAGAGCGGAGCTTTCCGTCAAAGTTCATCAAATCCAACTACACGAAGGTGGGACTCATTGGGTGGAATTGATAGTGGAGGCACTAGGACCAGACGGAAAAATCAACAAAGCATACAATGGTGGGGTGGCTGCATCCCTGATTTTAGTTGATGAGTACACCAAGCCAGTAGACTCCCAACAAGTACCTCTCGAGGATTCAGCGAATACTGGAACTGAGAGGGCGGTTCATTTAGAATCAAGCCTCGCCACTGAGGGTATGTTTTAGCACGCGGAACTTTCTTGCACCAACACATATGCTGCAGAGTAGAAAACATATCGCAGAGCCTCATGGCTCTCGTTTTTCTCCTTACAAGACGTCCCTTCCTTGACATACACTGTACAAATGCAGCTCCGCAGGGGGCATTCAACGTCTGGAGCTCGTATGCACTGTGCTGATGCTTTACAGGAGTAGCTGCTTTACTGTTTAGCCCTCCCGTCGATGGCACCTACAGGTTTAGCATCAGTTGCGGGGGCTGTGAGCGCACACTGAGAACAGAGAAACGCCAATTCGCAGCAGGCACGCGAGCGTCTCTTAGGGTTGTATCCCAGCCTTCAGGAGCAGTCAGCGGAGCAGTATTGGAGCACCAGCCCGAAGTCCAGTTGGAAGACCTAGACGGACGGCCAATACGCATAAAGAGCACTATTGTAGCTAATATTATCCCTATCGACTTAAATGGCAAGGGAGGCAGTAAGTGGGCATTGATTATTGCGACGCTCGAGCAGCGTTTCCCTCTCCCTAAAATTGCCGCTTGCACACCATGTTTCCGTACCAAAAGGAAACGAGCATACATTCTGCATTTAATTCGCTACTTCTTGCAGCTGCCTTGGCATCATGGACGGTGGAAACAGACGAACTTGGTTACGCAAGACTTCATGACATACGCGTGTCTCGGGCTGGGCAGCACGTGATTCAATTCGTGACTACACTGTGGCAGGATACCCGCCTAGAGGTGCTCTCGGCCCCGTTTGAAATTGTTCCTGGCCCTGCAGTGTCAGCGGTCTTTTCCCTAAAACCACCTCCCAGGGTGCTTTTGCATGAACCCTTCAGTGCTGTGGCGACTTTGGTGGATTTGGAAGGCAATGAGACTGCGAACGCACCCAAACTTCGGAGAGCAGGCGATCACGTGGAAGTTCACCTTATTGCTCTTAATGACGCTGGCCAGAAAGTTCCTTTGTATGGCCAGACTAGCCGGGTTTGGGGAGGAGGAAAATTAGCCTTCGAAGGTCTCTGGTTTTCTGAGCCTGGAGCAGTCCTACTTAAGGCAAGCCCAGTCAAGGAATTAGTTTCAAAATCAACACTGCTGCCGCAATGCCTGTTCACTTTGAGCACCAGGGATGCGTAACGGTGAACCGAGTGAGCTTGGCCCCATCAGTTTTACGCTGGGGCGTTTTGACCTTTGCCGGCGTATTTTGCGCCCTCACATGGCTCGTGTTATTTTTAGGCAACTTGCACCCTTTGTGTCAAAGACACATCCGACTCGTCAGCTAGCGTCCAAGCGGTTTCAGCTTCAAGGCTACAATTTCAGCCTTTGCCTCTACTACTAGAGCGTCGCGCCACACAAGGCAATGAAAATGAACTGCCTTCCCGTGAACACTGGGGGCAACTAAAAGTTTCTCTGAAAGCAGAAAACTGGAACTTTGGGGCTCCTCAAAAGCCTGTTCTGGTCGAAGTCAAGAGTGTTGCTCTCTTGGATCCTTTGGGAGGGTTGATCCAGGAAGATGGTGCACAGTACCTAAGGATTGAGCCAACCAGCTTATTGTTTTCGGTAGAGGAAGCAACAGATGTCAAAACATTTTACCTCCAGGTAAGCAAACACAGTTTCTCTTTAAACTGTGAGCTTCAACGCTGAGCGGACGAGCAGTGAGCAGTGGACATCACCTTAGTGTGTGCGTCGGCGTGAACCTGCTTTCTTGCAGCCATTGAGCCCTGGTTTGGTTGTTGGCAGTAAGGGCTTGTCACAGCCTGGGTCATCTATAAACATTGCGGCCTTTTCTGTAACGTTTGACGTTGTTTCTGACGACCCGTCTTGGTCAGCGAGTACTGTAGAATTTGATCTTCCTTCTCCAGCACTTCTTCACGGAGTGCAGTCATTGTTTTTTGCTGGGCCGAAGTCCCTAACAGTGTACGCGATGGATAGCGATACGTATGAGCTAATGGCCGGCTTTCCGCAGCAGCAACTTGTTCGAGAGGGGGAAGAGGTGAACAGCGCTTTGACAAGTGATATCACAGAACGGCCATCGCGGTAGACTGGTCACTTGCCTAGAATGTACAGGGCTGAATGGGCTTTGCACGCAATAGCATTTTTCTTGAAAGCAAGGCCCAAACAAGAGCATTATGGATATTGGAATCAATCAATAACAAGTTGCTGTGAAATGACCTAATGCTCAGATATCTTACACACTGCGGCTGTCTGCTCGTCCGCGCGAAAATGAGGAAATCACAATTCACATTTCCGGCGATCAAGGCAACAGCATTTCTGTAAAACCCGCAGTGCTGCATTTTGATGCAAACAACTGGAAGCAAGAGCAAGTAGTGGTGCTCAAGGTAGAGCAAGACAACATTGCTCCACCTGCGGTAAGTCTTCGCAAGAGACTTGCTCAATCAGATTTCTTGCGTGCATCTTAATGCACTATCAGAACGTTGCCAATACGGACTTGTCGAAATGGTTTCTTTCTCTATATCTTAAAATTAACGCAGAATGAGCATCCGTTGGAAGGAAGCATTTCTGGAGACGTCATTCGAGAGTTGGCATTGCGTCATGACATTTTTAGTAGCGAAGAAGCCAACACGTGGAGCATGCGCGGTGGCACAGAAGTGATATTTTCAGTGTGGGATGACGACATTGCGGGAGTACGGTAATATGAGTGCCAAAATGTCGCATGCAGTTCTGTTCATGAACCACTCCAAACCTCTTCGCTCAATTAGAAAAATGTGTAATTAGACTAGAACCTCATAAGCCAAGCAAACCGTTCTGCTCTCAGGTTGAGTGGGGAACAAATCCACACTATCTCATCGCAACCGAACAATTTAACTTGTCATTCCGGCTGAGATCTCAGCCGCTCGCCAATGTCAGCCTGCAGCTGCATTGTGACGGCACCGAAATCATATCGCAAACAAAGCATGTTTACGATTTTGAAGATATGCCGAACATAGATACTTTTGACGAAGACGAAAAACTTGGCCAAATTTTCGTGGAAACTGCTCACTGGCAGGCCGAGTACAGCTTCATACTGCGCATTCTTAACATATCGGAAACGCACAATGCTTCTTTGGCTTACAGTGGTACGCACATTGACACCAGTGCTAGACACGGATTCCTTCGCATGCTCCGTCCTTCCTCCTTTTTATAGCCATACTAACAGCACCATCACTGTAGACGACCTCCATAATAGTTGGATTCTTCGGCGATGTACTGATGGCATTTTCTCAGGGGAAGGCTACGAAGTATTTCAGAGCGTATGCAGTTTGAGGGCTTCTTCGGATGACGCCAACTACAATACAGGTGACGCTCCCGCAAAAGCACAGCGCTATATTCTTCTATATTTAATAGTTTGCAATGCTGTTATTCTTGCTACGCTACTCCGTTCGTGGAAAGCAATTTTTCCTTCAATTTAAAACATATCATCCGTGGAATCCTATAAGACAACTGCAAGTGCAGTTTCCGCTCAGAAAGGATGGCTTTAAGTCAGCGCCATTTACTAGCAGCGCGTGGCTTTGAAATTCCTCTGTCCATCAACATTATTCGCCACCAAGATGCAGCGAGCGAATCCGTCGGTGACGTGGCGGCTACTGCTTTCTATAGTACTTGCATTGGAGCCCATTATATACGGTGCGTGTTTGTATTGAATGACGTCCCCTTTTCAGCAGTCGTTGAAGGCCTATCCTCAAAAGCTCTTGCTTGGGATATTTCACCATGAGAGCACCATGGCTTGGCGACTGTGCTGATGCAGCGCAAGCACACAGGGAATTGAATGCTTGCCATGCCCACCGGGGTACGAATGTTCCGACCCTAGAAAGCCTCCTAACCCTTGCCGCGAGGGTTTCATGTCGCTGGGTGGTTTCACCACCTGCGTGCCGTGTCCCGAAGGTAAGTAGAGCTCTCATGAAGCAGCAGCCATATTCAAGAAGACAACTGCATGGCTTCGCCTGCTAAGCTGGCATCGCAAACGAATAGGTAAAGATGCGACCTAAGCTCGGCTCACAGCTGCCTTGCAAATGTCTGTGCTACCACATAGGCTTTGCATGCCCAGAAGGGACAGCTGTTCCAAAGCAGCTTAAGCCGGGGTTCTATCGCAGTACCGGTAGGAGCAGTGAAGGCCTCCCTACAAGCGTAAATGCCATCAAGCCTTGCCCCGAAGGATTTTACTGTACCGGAGGCTCAAAGTTGCCGGTTCCTTGCTTGCCTGGCTATGTCAGTGGAGAAGGCTCAAGTGAATGCCTTCCTTGCCCTACAGGCTATATGTGCAAGACTAGCCGAGCCGCTGATGTAGAGGTCAGGCACCGCTTTTGCGGATACCCCAAACAGTTTGTGACAGTTTTGAAGTAATGCTCTACGGGGGCCAGAAAACACGCCTGTAAGATTTCTGGTGCACTCGGCAACGTGACGGAATCGGAACAGGTTTGCTGGCTGTTGTTTCTTTCTGCATTGACAGCCTTGCCCAAAGGGTTCATATAGCCTGAAAGGCGAAGTGGCGTGCCGCCTTTGTCCTGCGGGGTTTGCATGCACCTCGTTCCTCCAATCTACTATGATGGAACCAGAAAATGGCGAGATTACCTCAAGCCAACAGAGCAACAATGCAAACATAAAATTCAGGCAGAACGAAGGCAACTCTTTACGTCTTGCCACCGCCAGTGATTCCGACCATGGCTTCCTCGACGAAAGCGTTGTAGAGTTGCTACTCCCCTGCAAATTGGGATATTATTCGAACGAAGTGAGGTGGAAGCAGCACTTTGTAAGGTAGCAACAACACATGCTTGCGCTCCTAGAAGGCTCACCACTCCACTTCAAGCAAGTTTGTGAAAATGAGCGTTTACTATAGGGTGAAGCCGACTGTACACCCTGCGGCGGAGCAGTGGCATGCCCGTCGCCTTCAACTAAAGAGCACTGCTTCACGCCATTTACTGTGGCGCTTCCTGATGATCCAACAGAATGCGTACCTTGCCCGGCAGGTACTTCACCGTATCCACTTCATTCCAAGATGTGCCGCTGTGTTGTCGCTTATATGGTTCGCGATAAGTTATACCCTGTTTTGGCAGTGGGAGAGCTGTATACTTTTCGAGCAAGCGCTGGTCCAGATGACTCATTGAAATGTGAATTCTTCCATTGCACGGCTGTGTAGGATTTCGAAAATTCTTCTGTATGAGCGTTCAGCTGCTCCCAGTTTCCTTTGCCTGTAAGTTAGGCCAATGACGCAAGTATGAATATTTCGCTGCACTATGCATTGCCGGCGCAGGTTACTCTTGCCAGAATGGAATCTTGGAGAAGTGCCCAGACTTTCACTACTCAAGAGTTGGCGACGGATTGTGCCGCTTGTGCAAAGGCGGTTATCTCTGTACAGGTGGCGCAACAGCCCCTGACGAAGGCGATTTGGTGCCTATAGGGTATGCAAATCGGGAGCCTCTGCTGATGTCCGATTTCTGAGCAAACATAGCATTTCTTTCACGAATATCCTGCTTAGGAACATTAACCTGTCCTGACGGGTTGCAGGCAGTGCATTCGAAGCTTTCAGCCTGCATGCAGGTGCCATGTCGAGGCCTTCTCAGGTACTACCGCTCAGAGCATGATGCGGAAGCTTATCCTTGTCCTGCGGGCACTCTAGGGCTTATGCCTGGTGCCACTAGCCACAAAAACTGTTCCCCTTGTCCTGCTGGATACATTTGCAAGATGACAGATGAAGGGGGGAAGTATCTGAGATCTTCTGCAGAGCCTTGCCCCGCTGGCCATATTTGCCTACGAGATGCCGTCGCATGTCCCGCTCGTACGCACCTAATAAGGCAGCATTTACTTGAGCAATTTCGTTTTGCTTCACCCCGCCTAGCTTTTGTTCCAAGTGGACCCTATGGTTACGCCCAAATTCCTAACGCTCTAGCTGACACTGTTGTTTTGGAGAGTATCACTTGGTAAACAAATTACAAATATATCTCGCACTATTTTGCAGATTACTACCAGGCAGTACAGGGATCAACTGCCACTGAGTGTGAACCATGCCCCGCGGGGACTTATACCAAAACCACCGGTTCCGCTTCCTGTGAAACCTGTGAAAAGTGGTTCTACTGCCCTCGCGGTGTCGGTCCTTTGCCGTGTCGCTACAGCTCTGTAGAAAGCCCTGCGGGTGGTGAGTTACACAAGGCCACCTTATCAGCTGATACAAGCTTCTAGACACTCTTTCCGAAGAACTAAATGGCTTCGCAGTCACTACAGTGTACCGGAATACTGACATGCTGACGACTCGATTTTCTATTGCTTAACTCAGCTAAGAGACTAGACCAGTGCTCACGACGAGCTGGAGAATTTGTTGTCTACAAGGATGAAGGCTACAAGGCTACAGCATACTGCGCCGAGGGAACTGTGCATCCAGATGATGCAAAGAAAAATACTTCAGCTGCTAATGGACTGTTCAGCTTGGAGGGATACGGCAGCTGCATGAGCTGCCCAGCCGGATATACTTGTGAAGGGGATCTATTCCCAGACCCTGTCCCATAGTAAGAGCTTGCCCGCAATTCCTCCTTCTTCCCAATTTTGTCAAGATGAATATAAGCTTCTCTATCTCATTCTTCATCTATGCCTAGCATTATTGTCATGGTGTCCTGCTGGCTGCGTAGCTGTGGTGTCGGGTATTACTGCCCAAGAGGATCTTCCCTCAGGACAAAAATCCCTTGCCCTCCAGGCACTGTAGGCGATTCGGAAAGAACACAATTTTACTCATTTTGCCCCAACTGCCCAGCTGGATATGTAAGCTCTGGAGAGAATTAGATGATATTTCTTTCGAAATGTAGACCTATTTGCCGCCCTTGCACCTCGACAGCAATAGCTGGACATCACCAACTACTTCTAACGTCCAGTGAGTTGTTCGACTCAGGCTTGCTCAAGTCAAGGAAGGGTTTCATGCCCTGCTGGCTACTACTGCCCTGAAGGTATCCTGCTGCCTTTGTCTAACAGAAAAAGCTGTGCATCATGTCCCTACTAGTTAAGGTAGCAAGTGTGTTGATACACAACGCCTTGAAGGCGAACTGCGGTTCCGCTTGCTAATTGATTGTGGTATGTTCAAGGATCATGGAGCGAATATCTTCTCCCCTGCCCAGCCGGAACAGTTTCATCCACTGTAAATGCCTCAGCAGAAACTTCTTGTATAGCCACACTTGGAGGAACATGGTCACCTCCAGGAACATCCGTTGCAAAACTGTGTGGCTATGGAAATTATTGCCCTGAAGGGAGCAAAGAGCCGATTCCCTGTCCAAGAAAGACCCGCTCAACATTGATTAGTGGAGTCAGTAGCTAGCACGTAGTTTCTTCGCACCCATAACAACTTAGGAACTTGTCGAGAAGTAAAATCTTCTGTAACCTACATTTTACAAAGAAGGAAACAAGACTCAGTAACTGCTCCTCCTGCGCTGCCCCTGTGCGTAACAGCTGCTGAATAGTTGCGTAGCTTGCAATTCCTCGAAAGTCTGCCCAGAAGGATCTACTAAGGAGTATAGCTGCCCAACGGGTATGAAGGAACATTAGTCAATTTCAGACTTCTACTCAAGTGCTTTGCAGCAGAAGTGTTCTTCTCCGCTCAAGCTTATATGTTCGGTCATTCAGTGTCAGGCAGCACTGCCACTATCGCAGACTACGGCTCTCACGTGAAACCTGCGATTGTGCTTAACAGGGTGGTATTACGATTCAAGTAGTGACCAGTGCATCATCTGCTCTTTGGGATATACGTGCGCAAGTGGGAAGCCGGTTGCGTGCCCTATTGGCACCTATGGAGCCTTCCTGCCGCAGAGTGAATCCCGAGGTTGCGAATCCTGCCCGGAAGTGAGCCCTTAATTCACCCAGTTCACGTAACATCCGCTGCGTCGAAGCACCGCGTGGAAAACGTTAGACTTCAGCAATGAAGCATGGGCTCTTGCATCACTCTTTTCACTGAACAGATGTGGAAGCTTCTTGCGCAGACTTCTCAGGTTCTTCTATGATCTTGGCACATTATTTTGTCTGCCGAAAGTTTTCCGGTGCTTCCTTGAGAATTATTGCACTTGTGGTTTACTATATATCAGGGCTATTACTGCGACACCACAGCGATGATCTCAGCCTCGGCGAAACCGTGCACTGCTGGTTTTACTTGTCCGACTTCAGGCCTTCGTACGCAATCATGTGCTTGAGAAATCTCCTGCTAGAGCGTTAGCGCAGTGGCCATCCTCCTGAATTTAGCTCTAGCACTTTGCGCATTGTTTGTCAGAGCCATTAGTGCATGTGGATGCGAATGTGAATGTCTTTTTCCTTTTTATTTCAGCGAGAATATCCGCTAATACAATGAAGAATGATAATTTGTGAGGCTGGGGCTCTTGGCTTTTCCTTATGTGCCCAGAGAGACCTATAAATAAATGCCCTGCGGGGTCGTACTGCCCTTTGGGAACAGCGTTAGCAAAGGGTACTCCATGCCCAGCGGGAACCTGGAGTGATGCAGAGGGACTTGTGTCTGCGTCTCAATGCAAACCTGTTAAAGCAGGAAGATTCTCTTATGAGGGAGAGACAAGTGAAGATGGAAGCGGGCCATGTGCCAAGGTTCGGCCGATGCCATTGCCGCACGTTGCGAATCACTGCAAAAGTAGTTCATATGCAATATCCAGCAATCTTCAGATTTTTCGTACTTATAAGCAGAGGTACAGAACTCTCTTGTATTGTCTATGCAGGGGTTCTACTGTCCAGAACGATCAACGACATCAATGGCTGTGGCATGCCCTCCAGGGTGAGTGTAACTTCAGCCTTTGTGTCCACAAAACATGCATTTGAAATGCAATCCGTCAGTAGTAGGCCTTCTGGGTGAATTAAGGGCGTTGCTGTCAATAAGACATTCCAAAAATCAGCAATTTTTGTAACTCTTTGACTTTGTTCGCTCGTGTGATCGTTTGCTGCGCATGCATGCAGAACATACAGTGAGAATGAAGGAGGTGCTTCACTTGAAGACTGCTTGCCCTGTCCAGGGGGGAAAGACTGCAGCACTAGTGGGACGTCAGAGCTCCGGGACTGTCCAATTTCTTATTACTGCCCTGAAGGATCCTCGAGGGTCATTCCTTGCCCTGTCGGGACTTACAGGTAGGACCATGGTTGGGGAGACTGCTTTATGAAAGAAGCCCTTTTTGACCTCGTGTTCGCTAAAACTTTGCCAGTAGGCTCTTTAGTGCATATCATTAAACTGTAAAATGTATGCGCAGCGATCAGCCAGGCCTCGTCTCGGAAGATCAATGCACCAAGTGCCCCCCAGGGAAATTTTGCAGCATGGCCAGCTCCTCAGCTCCATCTGGCAACTGTGAGCCTGGTTTTGTGTGCTACGGCGGAGCAACAATAGCAACACCTACTGATGGAATCACAGGTTAGGCTAACAGCGGTGTATGAAGCCCCTCAACCTTTGGGAAAAGCCACTGTGATCGATGCGTGGCATTCATCCCTTCAAATATTTTTGTAGTTACGCCAGTTCTACCAAAGACCTTTGACCTAATTAATGCTGTAAGACTACCAAGCACTGTCTCCACAAGAATGCGCTGCCGCATCATCCTTTTGTGCTAGTATTTGAACTGTCCCAGGAGCGCAGTGCCCCAGTGGAGGCTATTGTCCTGCTGGAGCTGAAAGAGTGACCCCGTGCCCTGCTGGGTATTACAATTCACGACCTGGAGCGGGGTCCCCCTCTGATTGCCTTGAATGCCCTCCTGGCTTATACTGTGACGGCACAGTGGTTAGCGACGGGGGCATTACGGGCCCGTGCAAAGAGGGCTACTACTGCGAGGCAGGCTCAGCAACGGCAACAGCCAATGAAGCCCCCAAGGGTTCATATGCTCCAGAAGGAAGCAGTACCTATCTTCTTTGCAACCCAGGGACATTCCAGAACGAAACTGGCAGTGCAGCCTGCTTGCCGTGTTTAGCAGGAACGTTCTGCCAGAGATTGGTGAGTCCTAGACACTTGAATGGCCTCCTGCGGCGCCCTTGAACTACTCAGAGGATATTCCAGCGCCTTCCGAGAGGCGGATCAACAATTCCCTTTTCTAATTACGGTGTGGCATTTGTTTGGGACAAAATGTAAAGAAAGCCGCTTTGTTCCCACCAAAATAGTTCTTTTGTCCAATGTCTTTTGTATATTGTCGATGATGCACAAATAATTGCCGTTCAGGGCGAATTTAGTGGAATGCAGCGTTAAACTCCTACGAAATATATCCGATGGAGACTTGGACTTTTCAGCGTTCGTTATGCTGCGATCAAGCGATCATGTTTGTTAACAACCGTACGTGTTTTCCAGGGTATGACAGAGGGGACGGAGTGCCCAGAAGCATCATACTGCCCTGCAGGAAGTTCAAGCCCGAAACTGTGTCCACCAGGAACATTTTCCAACAAGAAGAACTTGCAATCAGATTCTGAATGCACGCTTTGCACTGAAGGAATGTATTGTGGAGACTATGGCCTTAAAGAACCATCTGGGAAATGCCAGGCAGGATTTTACTGTGGAGGTGGCAGTGCCTCGTCGGCTCCACAGGTTGGTGTTCATCGTTGCTAGCACTTACCACCAGCCTATAAGCAGCCCGGACGTGCAATGGTCTGGTATTTACTCCAAAAGGTGTTTCCGTAATCTGACGCATCTATCTGCAGGAAACTTCCGGGAATAATCAAGTCTGCCCAGCAGGATATTACTGTCCCGCCGGATCTTCCAAGCCTACGCCATGCCCAATTGGAACATATTCCCCTTCTAAACAGGCAACCAGTGAAGCAATGTGCCTACCTTGTGATCCTGGAATGTGCGTTTTACTGAATATGTCCATAAAAAAAGAAGCTACAGTCGCCAGTGCCTTGCCGGCTGCCTGGTTCTTGGCTGTGTAACTACCATAATTCTGGTTGCGTTGTGACATAGGACATGTTCCGAAACTGGACAGTCTGCACCAAAAGAGCGCTGCCCCGGCGGATCGTACTGCCCAGCCGGTACAAAGGCGCACAACAGAGAAACCACGCAACCAATAGTCCCCAGAGCCTTTTGAAGACTAGTAAAGTGTAGAAAAAAACTGGCGTCTTTCGTTGAACAGAAAGCAGTTGCTGGTGGGTTGTGTACTTCAGGAGGCAGCCCAACACCTTGCACAAAAGGCCACGAATGTCCTGATGGATCTGCTGCACCGACTCCCTGCAAGCCGGTGAGAACAAGCAACGGCGCTGAGGGAACTAGACTGTTCGTCACAAGTGGGATATGCTGATTGTATGACCCGCTTCTCTAAACTGTGGTATTCAGGGAACGTACGCAGCCACGACGGGGCTTGCTGAGTGCAAAGAGTGTCCGGAAGGCTTCTTCTGCAGTGATGCAAGCAAAGAGCCGACGGACAGCGAAAAATGCCCTGCTGGATATTTCTGCCCCAAGGGCACTGCGTCTTCCGACGAAAATGCCTGCCCACAGGGTACGATTTTTCTAAGAGACATCGCTTTGCTATGGCTGGTCAGCGACTAAACAATTCGGAAAACTTTGCAGCTCTACCACGGAACATCGATAAAAAGACTTACAAAATTCGCATTTTGTATTCAAACAGGTGGTCCCAAAAGTTCAAGCAAGTAAAAAATAATCGCTGCGCCCCGGTTATTACCTTTCTCCTGTGGCATTTATTGACAGGCACATTCAACACTGAACAAGGCGCAACATCTCTAGATGCTTGCAAGCCTTGCACAGCTGGTAAATATTGTACGGGTCCAGGTTCCTCTGTGGAATCTGGAAGCATTGAAGGAGGATACTACAGTACGAGTGGCGCAATATCTCCCAAACCAGTCGCAGGTAAAAACTGAAGCTTCTCGATAGTGTGTCAACGCGTAGCATTTGTGGCTTCGCTGTGGCTTTACCGGAGTGACACAGGAACACTTATTCTGGGAATTATTTTTGTCAATCAGAGTGCAGGCTACTGGCAGCCGTTCTCGGTGTGCAGACCACACCGTGTCCAGGATTCGAAACCCCGATAAGCACTTTCTCTGAAGCTGCAAGCACATGCCTAAAAAGTGAAGACTGCCAAGGGGTGGTCGAGACAACCGAAAGTACATTTTTCCTGAGGTGAGAATCAACCTACCTCCTTCCCCTACTGTGCATTCGCACACAAGTTTGCGTGAAGCGGTTGCTAAAAGGCCACATATAGGGAGATCTTGCAGTCCTTCTAGATTGATTCCCTAGCTGAAAATTCCGTTGCTCGTTGCAATTTCGCCATCAAGATCAAACCGCTTCGTGAACAGAGCTATGCCCAATATTGCGGCATCAGAAAATTCACACAAAGGTTCAGCTCCTAACTCTTTGGCACTGCTGCTCTTACAGGTGCGGAGACTATAGCAGGTCTTCCACTGAGAAAGACAACTTTTTCTATCCGAAGCATTGCACCATCGCGGGCATTTGCGAACCAGGAACATACTGTCCAGAAGGATCCACAGAGCCCAAAACGTGCCCACAAGGGCAATACTGCGCGGCTTACGGCCTCGCAAGCCCTTCTGGAAACTGTGAGGCAGGGTACCTCTGTCCAGAAGGTCAGTCAAGTTTTCGATTCACTTGGACACTCATGCACTTTATGAGACGACGCACAAGTGTCTAACGCAGGCTTGTGATTGAGAAGCTACTTCAAATAAAATTCTCCTCCGGCTTTCTTTGCGACAGGCTCCTCAAGTCCACATCCTGTCTCAGCTCTGTGCACCCCAGGGCATTACTGCCCAGAAAACGCAACCGCAGCCCAGCCTTGCCCACAAGGAAAAATTCTAAGTGGCTCGTGAGCTGCACACTGCATAAACAAACAAGGGTCTGCCTGCGGAAAGCGGGCTTAGGCCTTCTCGTGTAGAAGAAGATGGTGTGTGCGCTCTTGCTTTTGCAGTGGTGGCTCCTCAGACAAAGACTGCTTACCATGCCCAGCTGGATTCTTTTGCGACAAGGAGGGACTTTCCGACCCAGCAGGCCCTTGTCCAGCAGGTGAGTTTGCTGCCTGATTTCGAAATGGTTTCTGGGGCATAATCGTCATGCGGTGACTTGGCAAGCCGAACATTGCATTATTAGGTGGAATTGCCGTGTGTGGTATATGCGGCTCCAAACTAAATTTTTTCAAGCCAAAATGCCTTCACGGGAACCCAATAATATGGCTAATGATCTCTGCCTAAAGCTGAACACTCCTCTTCTGACAAACGTCGCTCGTTCCACCATTATAGTGACAAAGTCCGGGATGCTGCTCAACTCAGGAAAATTTTGCCCTGAGGGTACCGCAAGCCCGAATGATGCTCAGGAGTGCACTGCTGGCCATATGTGCCCTGAAGGCAGCGCATCTCCTATGCTATGCCCTCAGGGCACCAAACAGCCAAGCACAGGGCAAGCAAACTGCATCGAATGTACAGTTGGTACGATTAATACTTCGGCATTCAGAACCCTGGCAGCAGCGGGAGAAAAGCTGAGTCAGGGGAAAATGAAGGCTGTTTCGATGGCATTAATCGTATAGATGTACAAAAAATGCCCCCACAACATAACCAGGCTACAGGAAGATGCGCTCTGTCCAGAAATGTTTCGTGAGGCTTTTTTCAGGAGAGATTTGCGGTGGGGGCAGTGTAGAGGGTTTAGAATGCCCAGCTGGCTTCACCTGCCCAGAGGGTACAGTCGTCCAAACATCATTTCCCTGTCCTGTCGGGACATACTCGGAAGAAGCCAATAATTGCCTTACTTGCCCAGAAGGATTTTACTGCGATACTCCAGGAGCCACGGCACCTGCAGGAAAGTGCAAGCCGGGTGAGCACAGGAAAACGTGCAAGAATCACGCTTTGCTCTTTACGCCAGCCTTCAAGCTATTATTTTGGTTGCTGCAAAATTTGCCATTTCTTCGTGCACCTTCAGGCTATTATTGCCCTCCCGGAACTATGTGGCAAGAGCCGACAACATTCTGCAAGCACGGACAGTTTTGCCCCCCTGGATCGAATGCTCCTCAAGACTGCCCAGCGAATCATTTCTGCAATACTGTTAAGCTTGGAGAGCCTTCGGGTCCATGCAGAGGTGGTTTCATTTGCAGTGCGAGGTGCACGACCCCCCGACCGACCGAAGAACAGAACGGCTCAGCATGTGAAGAAAACATGACCGGAAGGCCGTGTAGCAAAGGCCATTACTGCCCTAGGCGTGAGCTGGAAGAGCTCTATGACTGATTTGATTTTGCTCGGAAGGCAAGAGTTGGTCAGTACATCAACGAAACACTGTAAAAATGCATGTTATACAAAATAAATGTGTCTCGGTTATATTGCAGCTGAGTCTCCCCTGGTGGCGGGAACAGGTTTTCCGGGCAGTGGCGGCGATGGACTTCCTGGACCAGAGGCACTCCTAATGCTTCCTACGAATGCTGTTATGGATTCAAGTACAGGCGATATTTACATTGCAGACTACGGTAATTACGCCGTGAAGGTAGTCCACGGAGACACAGGTATGCGGAAGGCGACCAAAGACCTTGTCAACCAGTAAAATGTTCAACTTTTGGCATCCAGCTCTTGATAGGCTCAGAAGTCCACTTTTTGGCTGGCAGGTAACATCGAGACACTTGTTTCCGCGTCATCCGTAAGTGGAACACTCAGCTGGATCCGGACTTTTGGCCCCGTAGGCCTTGCTTTCTGTTCGACTACGAAGAAGCTGTATATCTCTTACCCGGGTTAGTTCTTGTTCTTGCAGCCGGCGTGTTGCTTCTCCTTTCATATGCAGTGGCATCTCATTTCGTGCCCAAGGTGGACTAATCAAACAAAAACATTGTGTAGCTCTATGATATTCTGCAGGTAGAAACGCCATTCTCGAGCACGATGTAACATCTCGCTCTTCCACGTTGGTGAGCGAAGTAAGCACTGATCTCTCGAAGCCACTGGGTCTGGAGACTGATGAGGATTGCAACAGTCTCTACATTGCAGACAGTGCTAATCACCGTGTGCTCAAGTATGCCTTCGGTGCAACTCCAGCCATTACAACCGTTATTGGAACAGGCACACCAGGTGTGTTTATCCCTCCCTGCACAGGAAAACAGCATGGCCTGCGTTTGCCTCATTAAATCTTCAAGTGGTAACTTCTAGGCTGTGCTGCCGCTGGTTTTAGGGGAAAGTGATTCGAGTGCAACCGCCACCTCCTTCCAGATTAACTCGCCTTCTGCTGTGGCATTAAATAGCGATATTCTCTATGTCGTGGATTCCGGAAATAAACGTGTAAGTTTTAGTCGAACTTTAGAGATTCTCGGCCGTAAATGATAAGTTCAAAGGCAAATACTGTTGGGCACCTGAACAAACGCCTGCGCCGGTCTCGTTTCCGTCCCACAACGTGAAAGAGGCAACGTTCCAGTGAATTGGGTGTTTCGGTTAATAGGTTTTGGCAGTGAATCTGGTAGATCAGTCTGTCGAGATATTTGGTGGAAGCGCAGCAGACCCCTCCTCAATTACCTTTGAACGGCCAGTGTCGGCAGCTATTGCACAAGCAGAGGTACGTAAAGAACCTGAACCAAGCCTTACCATTATGCGGCTTATTACTTCAAAGATGCGGATATATGAGTCTGAAGATGTGCCTGAGGCGCAGGATGGCGAAGTACTGGTCGTTGCTGATGCCGCTTCTCGAGCGTGAGTTAAACGAGCAGGCCACGATGATGACAGAGTCAAAGAATTTCGGTTGGCCCACGCATGCACTGTACTAAACTTTACAAAATATTCTAGCTATTCATGGCTTGTTTGGGTTTTTTGAAGCTTGAGCAAGATTGACCTTCAAACAAAGACTGCAACACTGCTTGTGGATTACACCGCCTGGAGGTCTTTCGTGGTAGAGGAGGCAGAAACAAGCATTGCCGCGACAGGATTGGAACACGCATTTTATGGCGTCAGTAGCTTTTTTGGGGTAAGGCCAACCAGCGCCCCGGTGGGAATTTCGATGTACAGTCATCGATGTTACGCATAGATAATTATCCGGCGGTGTTTACGGACGAATGCGTGTGGTATTCTAGAGGGACAAAAAACGAACGGGCGTGCTTCTGGCTGACAGCTATTCCCACCGCATTCGCCGAGTTGAGCTTGAAACAGATCTTTATTCAAATCCTGCTGTGACTGAAATCCCTTGCCCTGTTGGTACGATCCGGATCAGCGGTCCTAACTTTTGGGCCTTCATTGCGACCTGGATGTTACATGAACACACTGTAGCTCAGCGGCACATCTTCTCAGTGCAAGCCTTCTATGGCTCACTTGTTTTCCTTTGCAGGAACATACCTACCATACACTGGAGCAGCCTCAGAGGATGACTGTATGAAATGCCCCTTTGGGATGTACTGCAGTGCCACCGGACTCAGTGAACCAGAAGGACCTTGCAACGAGGGTTACTACTGCCCACAAGGGTCGACTTCTCCAACGCAAGAGAAGTGCCAGGCAGGCAATTTCTGCTCCTCCCATTCAGGTGCCACAAACATTCAAATGCATTTAACCATTATACCAGCAGGCTGATGTACGACACGTACACGGTGCTGCCGACCCTCTGTACGAAAACTATGATGCTCTTGGGATTGTGGTGGACTTTCATTTATTTACAGGTTCAATTACTATTGTAACAACACGCAGTCGTACGAGCCGCCTACCATTGCTACGCGACGCTACAACTGACTTGGAAAGGTCTGATAATGCTGAAAGAGGTGTTTCGGGCTGGTTTAGGCGTCTTCCCAGCACTGCTCACTGCAACAAATCGAAGAAATGCCGAACTCGATTCGCGGAGGGACAAGAAGAGGAGAATGTTTTCTTAATTGATTTGGATGAGCCCAAGGATTTACTTGGCATTGACATCCACCTCGAGGGAAACAAAAGCGCTGCGGTCAGATGATATTTTCAGCGAGTTCTCTTCTAAGACCATTACAAAAGGGGCAATTTGCATCCACAAGCTTGCATTTAACATTTACAGGGAAAAAAGCCTCGATTTGGCGGCAAAGCGCATCACTTGCGTGCTTAGCTAGGGTGGTTTCGTCCTGTGTAGTTTTGTCAGCCATTGAAACCCAACAGCTTATTCTCTGATGAGACGCAGGCACTGCTTGGAGTGGACATAAGGCAAGAAAAAACATGTTTTACTGCATGCGGGACTGGAAGGCCAGCGTGGTCCAGGATGCATGCTTTTACCTCTGCGAAGACACGCCTTCCCTTTCGCAACAGAGCACAACAAGCAATTAGAGTGTCCAGTAGTGCGGAGGATCTGAAAGGAATAAAGTCCATCTTGCTACGCTTTGCGGCTGGAACGCAACCTACCAGGGCTTCAGTTTCACTAGCTACTACCGCGACAAGAGGTGTGAACAATGTGAACATTCATCAACATTGGCGACAATCATGATACTTTTGCTGCTAGTCTAAAACGTGCAGATTGAGAAGCTGTAAAACGTTAATTGCTAATTGCATGCTGTTGGAAATACCGTCACCTCGCTGCAAGCGAATCATGCAATTACTTCTCGCGATGTGGGGGACCTTGGGAAGCAGAAATCAACGGGTGAACTTTCTTATATTACCACTGCCTCTCACCGGAATCGATACTGAACGGGAATGCAGCTTTTTACTTGTGCTCCTCTCCTAGGCCCCGTTGCGCAAAAGCAATGTCCGCCGGGGACGTATCAGCCAAACGAGGGAGCAACGGGTTGCGAAGCGTGCCCGGCCGGGTCCTACTGTGATGAATTCGGTCTTGCAAAGGCAAAAGAATGTCCCGCTGGCTTTCTTTGCCCTGAGGGCTCGATCACAGGCACATCTCACTACTGCAAAATTGGCTCAATATCTACACAAGCAGGAGCTTCGACGGAAGAATCCTGCGTGCCCTGCGAAGCGGGCAAGTTCTGTGGAGAAGTAGGAGCTATAAAGGAGACAGGGGAATGCGCAGCCGTAAGTAACAGTCACACACCACGAGAAGTGGCGCTGCAGCTTCTGCTGACTAGTTATAATTGTCTGTTTATTGCCTTTCAGTAGATGTATGGTGCGGCTTTCAATTTGATTTAGGGTCACTACTGCAAAGCAGGGTCGTGGACCGCCACACCAGTGGTTGGCATGGTACATCCAGACACTGGCGAAGTATCTGACATTGGGGATATCTGCCCTAAAAACCACTATTGCCCCGCTGGGGCTTCTACTCCGACTCCATGCCCTGCGTAAGCTCAGTCACGCTGGACCCTGTGGTGTTCGTCACTCCTCATTTTTAATTAAAGAATGCGCCTCAAAACATTCGTATGCTTTTAATCCCTCCATCTGCAAATTAAACGTTTCACTGAGCTCGTGAGCGCAATGTCCGCGTGGTGGCACCTCACAGCGAGTACAATGACATTTCTACTCTGCTGGGCAAGTTGCATGTACACTACTTATGAAAACCTTGCATGGCACTTAGGGAAAGGGAAAAGCGCGTGCTGCAATGCACACTTTATGCAGCATCATATGAAGCGCCAGTCCACTTTGTACGCGCCTTGTCTGCAGAGGAACCTTCTCACAGACATCGGGAGTAACGTCGCTTGACGGTTGTTTCAAATGCTCTCCAGGATTTGCATGCATCAGCGAGGGTGTGCAGGTTCCATGTGGGGAGGGCTACGTTTGTCTCGAAGGCTCAAATACGACCACCCCCACAGACAACGTTATGGGTTACGCATGTCCACCAGGCAGTTACTGTGCTGAAGGCTCTTTCGCGGAGAAGGTGAATCTAATGATACGCGAACAGCAGTTTGCGCTAGCGGCTGGCTATGTTTTGTAGCTTATTGCCCAAAGCAATATGTGAGATTATCTAAATAAAATCTGTTTACGTAACAAAAATACTTTTTGAGCTGGTTTTTAGGCTGCTCATTAGTTTGCGCAATCTTCGCGGATTTCGTCTATTCCTTCTGCAAGCGAATCGAAAATTTAGTCCGCCATTCCCTTTCGAATTTGATTTCATTGTTGTGCTCCTCAGCTGTGTCCAGCTGGCACATTTAGCCTTCAAGGCCAAGCTTCCTGCACACCATGCAGCGCCGGCAAGTACTGCTTTGATCCAGGAAACCCAAATGATGGTGAGCCGTGCCCAGCGGGACATTATTGCGGGGAACAAACTATAGTACCACAGCCGTGCCCCCCTGGAACCTTTCAAGACGAGACGGGACAAACCTCATGCAAGCCGTGCTCACGGGGGAAGTACTGCCCTAGCTACAGGGCAACGGGACCCGCCGGAAATTGCTATGAAGGAACTATCTGCGTAGAAGGTGCCACACACCCTCGCGTCACCGACCTTGTATACAGCTTTGAGGACGAAGTAAATGGACTCTGCCCAGCAGGCCACTTTTGTGAAGAAGGAGCACTGAAGCCAGAACCCTGTCCAGAAGGGGAATACCAGGTATGATACTGTGATCGTTGGAGCCAAGGCCTGTCGGCGAGTGCTACCAGCGGTTGGCTTTAGCACGTCGTTCCTTTCCTTCATGGTCATTGTCGGTCCTGGCTAGCATGCTTTGGGTTGCTGCAGGACAAAGCCGGAGCCAAGTCCTGCATAAAATGCCCAGAGGGGAAGTACTGCGCTGGAACAGGAAATACAGCTCCTACAGGAAACTGCGCTCCCGGATACGTTTGCTACAAAGGGTCAACGAGTAGGGAGCCCCAAGATGATACTACAGGCGCCATCTGCCCCAAAGGCATGTTTTGCGAAGAGGGAGCAACACACCCTACACCATGCGCACCAGGCACATACACTAATGCAACAGGTCAACACACCTGTCTACCCTGCCCAGAAGGGTTTTACTGCGATAAGGCAGGAGAGGATCCAAAAAAGTGCCCGGAAAAGAAAGTAAATTTTGCTATGCAGCTGTGTGAAACCTAAGGAACTTATGAAGAGAGCAACGAGGCCAAGCAAATGACCCAGGCCAGCAGCTTGCAAACTAAAGAGCATTTCGCGTGCGCTTTCAAGATTCTCACAGAAGTTGTATTGGATGTGAACGTGGGCTGCAGGTGTGCGCTGAAGGTAGCGCTCGGCCGGGCTTGTGCCCGCTTGGCTCAATCCCAAACACAGAGGCTGATGCTGTCGACGTCTGTGTTCCATGCCCACAAGGCAAGTATTGCAGAGGAGCAGTCGTTGCAGGAGACTGCCTTCCAGGGTATGTTTTTGTTTGAAGAAGCACTGAACTTTCCAGTGGCCATGACTCCTAGCGCTTTTAGTCGGCTCAAAAGGGTTAAGGTTTGTGAAGTAGGAATGACAGTGGTCTCTGCGAACTTGCTTGCACAGGTTTTTCTGCGGCCTAGGTAACTGGGTACCGAACCCGTGGATGGAACAAGCTCAAAATGACCCATTTGTACCAGAGAGCGCTATAGCGGCAGGTGGAGTTACATTGTTGACTTTGGACAACTGGGAAACTGTAAAGACAACCGGTTATGGGGGTATTCCTTGTCCGGCAGGGCATTACTGCCCAGCAGGTGCCTCAGAACCCAAACCGTGTCCCACTGGGAGCGTCAGGCAGGAGACCCTGGGCCGGTGGGAGGCTGACTGCTCTCTCTGTCCAAGAGGGTAGGGTAGACTGTCCCCGAGTCTTACACTTTTAAATACAGATCCTTTGAACCAGGCATTCTAGTCGTCTACACGCTGAATCACACCTCCAGTATATTACGTATTAGTAATTCTACTCACTCTAACTTTGCTTGAACTCACTCTGTATGACTATTCAGGTACTATTGCCCTGATCTCTCACTGGTCCCTGAGCCTTGCCCAGCTGGTCACTTCTGTCCTTTAGGATCTTCAGCGCCACGACCGTGTCTAGGAGGCACCTACAACCCGCACCTTGAAGGCTCCAGCACATCGTCATGCCTCACATGCCTACCAGGATATTTGTGTCCTGGTGAAGGGAATGAAGAACTTGCAGTTGAGAATCAATGTCCTACTGGCCATTACTGCTTAGAAGGAAGTCAGCAAGGAATTCCGTGCCCACCTGGGACGTATGGAGATCTGCCTGGACTATCAAGCGAAGAAGGCTGCACAGCTTGTCCAGGCAAGTGCTGACTGGAGCCCCTCCGTATTGTCATAAGTTGATGGTGATTCTTCATCGAAAGCATACTCTTTATCATGTGCTATACGCGTGAGAGTACGTGCCCGAGAGTTCATTCGCTGCTAGGCCTATATTCTAAAGAGAAGATTACCATGAGAGGCATTCTTCAACGATAAACGCGCCGAATAATAACTTTCTTTTTCTAGGAAGAACTCTACCAACTTTCTCTTGGGGACCCAGACATTTTGTTTCGCGTTCGCACCATTCTGGACCGTTGTTTGGATGTCTCGATGCGCAGCTGGGAAATTTTGTCCCGTGGAAGGTCTATCCGAGCCTGGAGATGTATGCCCAGAAGGGCATTACTGCCCATCAGGAACGGCCGTCCCACGGAAGTGCTTACAAGGGACGTGGTGCCCTGAAGGAAGCGGAGAGCCGCAACAGTGCCCTCCTGGCGCCATATGCCCAGTTGGATCAGCCATTCCTCAGCAATGTCCAGAGGGCTATTACTGCCCTCATGACCAATCTTTCCCCGTCGCGTGCCCTGCTGGCTACAAAGGCTCTGATGATAGATCTGACACAAGTTCACTAGAAACTGGGTGCAGCTTATGCCCGCCGGTAAAGCCATCAGCCTTCCTTTTTTACGCACGTCGACCCACGGCTAGGCAGCGTGTAGCCCTTTCGAAAGACAAATGAGACCATGGAAACCTCGACAAAGAAGTAGTGCGTAGCTTCTTTTGTTGCTCTGTTCAGGGCACATATTCAAGCGAACCGGGTATGACGGAGTGCACAATGTGCACTCCAGGATATGTGTGTCTAGAAGGTTGCAGCTCCAGGTGAGGAGAAAAATCACTATGCAGATGCACTGCCTACAACCATTCAACCCTGCCGCCCTGACGGTCAACACTTTAGGTTTTCAGCAGGTGCCAACTCAAGTGTGAAGATAAGGTCAGGATCATAGTAGTTGAGGGAAAACAGTAGAAGACTTGCATGATGGACATGCTTGCAGCACCCCGACAGACAAGGACAAGGACAAAGGTTATCGGTGTACCCCTGGAACATATTGCCCTGCAGGGTCCAGTAGTGAACAGATGTGTCCTGTAGGAACTTATGGGCTTCAAACTGCCGCAACAGGCATTGACGCATGTGCTCCTTGCCCAGTAAGCAGTATGGCTTCAGACTATCACGTGGAAGCAGAAAGGCATTGAAACTCTCCTGAAATGAAGGTTTACAGAGGCGAACCAACGCTCACGGCATGCCTTCTATGCTGCAGTTAGGGACATACAATGATTTGGAGGGCCAAACAGGCTGCGTGCTGTGCGGAGCCACGGCAACGTCCAATTCAAACAGTACATCCTGCACTTGCAAGGGGACGAACAGGGCATTTCAGCTAGCTGATAGGTCATGCGTCTGCCTATCAGGATTTCATTATAAGCAAGGGAATGTAGACCTCAGCGATCAAGATGGAGTGGAGCCTTGTCAGCAGACGGTTAGCCAGGAATCACCTGCAAGAATGCCCAAAGGCACCGGCTTGCTACTGGGTCTCTTTCACACGCAAAAGGCTGCGCTTCTCCCAATTGTGTTGCCGTCCTTCTCCGTCGTATCGTCTTATGAAAAATGTTTATTCAAAGCATGCTTGTCCTCACTCTGGCTTGTTGTTCAGCTTTACGACCACTGCAACGCGGACTCATCTCGAGACGCAACTGGCGCATGTGTATCCCCAGAAAAGGTCTGCTCTGATCAATGCGGGCCTGCTGGCGGATCTTTCAGCACAATTTCAGGTTTGTGCTCCTGCAGCGGCGAAAAGTCTCTTGATGAAGTCTGCGACGAAGCGTGCAGAGAAACACGCCCTCAGCTGATCCTGAAGGAATCTACATTAATCATAGACAATCCTGAAACGAGTGATGGTGATAAGGAGTTCGACCTAAATGATCTCATTGAGCACACCGGGCTTGCTACTGGCTCTTACGACTGCACTGAGACTCAAGGCTGCACTGTTCGGATGTTTGATACAACGCTAGGTAGGCATCATGCATGAAGCGTTTCTTGCTGTTTTGTTTTCATCTAAACTTACTAGCATGCTTTAGCTGCAGGACCTCGATTGTGCATTTAACATCTGCTTGCCTCTCGGTTCATGAAGACGTGGATCTTCTGCTATAGACAATCCCCTTCAGCCTCCGGCTCTGCAGCTGCCAGCACTTATGCGTGTGAATTTGTGGGGGCATGCCTCAGCGAAAATGACAGGTCTCGTGGGTGTTCCGCAAAGCTTCGTCGACGAATTAACTGAGCGATTACAAGACTATGGCATCGTGCCCGAAGCGCCGGACAGTAATGCTTCTCAGGCAATTGAAACACGCCGCTTATCTGATGCTATAGACTTCGGCTATTTTGGAGTGTCCGACCCGGTCCAGTGCCTGCCACTCGGCTCAACTGTGGCATGGCACATTCGCCCGAGTCCCAATCCCATTTATCCAGTGTACCTTCGAAATAACTTACTCAATACAAACAAGCAATTCGACTACGGGGCCTTCAGGTGAGGGGGATTTTACTTGTCTGCTGATGGGAAATCCTAAACGTCCAACGCTTCCGACCTTTCATCTGAGACTACGTTAAGCTGAACGCTTGCTGAGCTTTTGGTTCACAGGGACCTTGATACTGACATGAAAGGAGGAGAACAGAGAGTTCTTTTCATATTCACGTTCAAGGAGCCAGGGCTTTACGTATTTGGTCTTAATACTGACCCGAACAAAATCATGGTCTTGCGTGTCATGGAGGCTAGGCGCCTCTGCAGGGATTCTGCGCTGCTACCCCAATTGAGGACTGCTGAGACTTTAGCTGCAGTCACAGCACGGCTCCCGAGCACCGTTGAAACAGCTGCGTGGACGCTGTTTGTGATAGTTGTTGTGGGAATCATTGTGGTGGCTGTACTTGTATTTCTTGCTGCCTGGACATTTAAACACCAGAAGCTGGAGAGCCTCGAAGCAGATCCAAAATCAAAATACAATCAGCCGCCACCCAAACATACTTCAGAGTGAGCTGTGGTTCGGTAGTAACAGTCTGTTGATGCACTCAATTCTAGAATCAGAGCTCCATCACGTGTAAACTCGGAGCTTAATCACGATTTCAACGACTGAGGCATGCGAGCAGGAAGGATGAGCGTGCAGAAGTTGAAGAACTTGTACTTCAAACCCAGGCAAAGGTTCCCTTGGAGGAGGATCCTGGAGTTTTGAGAGCAAGACGTGCTTTAGCGAAAAAGCTGGAAACACAAGACCCCAGGTTATTTGTTGCCGTTCTAAATTTGACGAAGCAAATTAAACAAGACGCCGAGGAACGTTGCACGCGCATAGTGGCTGAACGCAGTGAAGGCCTGTCACAGCTTTTAGACCTGACGCGAAAGTTAAGGCAAGAGCTCGCAGACCAACTACATGATGCAGCCGCCTCAGAAGTAAGTGCTTCGCTAATATGGTTTTAGATAAAAGAAACCATCCACTGGATTACGTATTACCGAAAAGAGACGGGGTTCATTCTAAACAAGCACCTTTGACTTTTGCAAAAATTTTAAAACTTGACCCTACTACGCAGTGGGCCATCCTTGACAAACCTCCTAACTATGGTGGCAGGGCTGTTCAATTTTTTCTTTTTGCTATGTATTATCAGATTTGGGGCAAAGAAAATGACGAGGAACGTGAAGAGATTCTTTCTACATTGCTTAGCCTTTTAAGACTGAGAAGGAGAGACCTTGTCAACAAGCTTGCGCTTGCGGAAAAGGAGCATGAGGAGGTTCGTTTTGAGACGTACAGAAGTGACTTCGACAAACTCGTAGTAGCGATTTCTCCTGAACACCTAATGAAGGCCTAACTGAAGGCCTAATGGTACACACGCTGGCTCTTTGCAGGAAGCAGCCCTAAAGGAGAAAGAAGAGCAGCTCCTTCTCTTGCGGTCACGGACTGACTCCTTAATTTCGAGTACGATTCTTCCAGCCGTTGGTGAAAAGGGACAGGTGCAAATGTCATCAATTAAGCTTTCAGTGGAAGCGCAAATCGAAGGTCTTCTTGAAGAATTCAGGAAGGCTCGAGCCGATGCAGACGACGACATGCCTTCAATAATAGAGCTCTACAAGGCTAGGATGAAAACAATTCTCGAGGAAGTAAGGCTCTCTGCTTGCCCTACATACATATTGACTGCACAATTGAAATGGCACAGAAGCTCACACTGCCACCGATTTGCTCGTCCAAGCCTACACACACGCTCCTTTTGTGTCGTCACCCGCAGGCACAAGGTGAAACAAAACTCGCATTCAAGAACATGCTTTCTGCAGACATCGAGGAACGAGTAAGAAATGGAGTAACCCTCCTCAGCTCCCATGTACAGCTGCTCGAGGTCATGGCATCTGGTAGTAGTGTGGCATCTTATGTAGTTGCTTTTCTTTGCTCGCAGCTTATGACAGGCAGTCTACAGCTAGACCTAAACGAAGCAAAGAACAATTTAAGAGGATGTGAAGATGACGCTGACGAGCGAAAGGCTCTTGGGGCATACCGCATTGTGGGTCACTTTCTTGGTTTTGTTGCCACTATGTAAAGCCGGCGTTTCTCTAAAACTAGGCAGTTAGATCGCAGTTCTAAGTAAGTAACGCTTCATCAGACATGTGACGTGCTTGCGTGTACGGGGCGCAGCTCGCAGGAGCTGCATGGAAACTGACAATTTTCACTACTGTCATAGAGCAGGAAATCGCAGCGGCGACCCAAGCCGTCAATAAAGCTGTCTCTGAAGCTAAGGAAGCGGTGGAAGTAAACAAGACAAGCCCTGCAGAAGCAGCAGATTCGTTGAAAGCTGCAGTGGTATCATGCCTCAAGGTGAGCGTAAAAGGCCACTTTCATTACTCCAGCATTTACAGGCTACGGAAGCGCTTTATTTGTGCACAAGGCCAAAGCTTAAAGACCTAGGTGGCTCTCTGCTGCTCGATTGGAACTTGCAAAATCAGGACGGACGATCAAGGATAGAAGAGGCTGGAGAGGGAGCCGAGCAAGCCATTGCTTCTGCGGAAGCCCAGGCTGTGTCACAGTGCCAATCTTGGGGCGATGAGTACGAATCAACCTTGAGGGATATGTATGATGTACGTTTTGGAAGATTCGTATGAAGATGGATCCTTCCTGCTTCATACGAAGAATGCGCCTCCAGCAAGTACACGTAGAGGGGCACAACGAAAACGACAGTTTCCCACTTGCCGCTAACGCATTTGATGGTTAAATAGTTCTGATTTCTGTGGCCTTAGGCATTGATTGAGGCACAAAGTAATGCAATAAATTCCACATTTGCTACTGAGACAAGGCTTCTCACAACCTCTATGCAGACTACAAAGAATCAAATTTTGGAACAAACCCGAAACCGGTACAAAGAATCGCCGTTGCTCACTGTTCTTTCCAGAGGATCACAGTTCGTTGTTTTTGGTGTACTGTATCTTAACTGTAAAGTTTGCATCTGATAGAAAATGGAGGTGACAAATGGCTGTTCTTAGGTATAGCAAGATTGACGCCCTGAGGTGCTCCACCACCTTGGAAGAATTGCAGGTGACACTTGATGCAAGCATTTCCGAGACAAGCCGCCAGACGAGGCAACAGCTAATTGATGATGCTGTGAGAAAGGTGGGCCGCACAGTGGATACCTACAGAGTTCCCGCATTTCGACTTTGTTGTGGCTTGCAAGCAGCACAAGGCTCATTTCAGGCACCTACGTTAGCCACTGGGAGACTAGAACTTTTCTTTTTTTGCAGCATTATTCCTCCTTGCATCAGTTTGGTTGCAGCCTACGCACAGATTACGGTGATCACAGTGTTAGTGGAGGAGTAGGGCTTCTAGAAGTGACGATTCTCCGGAGTGTGCTGTCCTGACTTGCTTTTACTTCAACAGGTCTCGAACGAAGTGAACCACCTTCGAGATGAAGAATTGGAGTCAACAGCATCTACACTTAGTCGAATCATAGCTACAAGGACAGAGTGCTTTCACAAGAGGCAGTCTGCGTTCAAGTCTCGCAAGCTCCTGATGCTTCAGTGGCAACAAGAGTTTGCGGCACAGTATGTATCGATGCAGGCGCAGGCTGCGGTTGCCTTGCTCCGCCGGGGACTTCGCATCCTCTCAGACCAGCTGAAAGTAAAGCAGCTGCACATTACAGAGTCTTTTGCAGCACCAGCCTTTAGTTCTGCATACCTCAGAATCACTTGAAGCTCCTGCTTTGTTCCTAATGCTTGGTCAAGTGGCCTCCAGCTGATGCCCCAGACATACTTTACCTTCGAAATGCAGCTTTTTCACAATCTTCGATATGCCACAGGCTGCCAAGGCATATGAAGGAGCCGTCTTCACAGGAGTGGCCAATTACGGAGTGGACATGGCTGTATGCTATTCAATGAAATCAGCCTAGGCGATGCAGTGATGTCCCGGTGCAGTCGCCCGAGCTGCTTGCGTCAATATATGGATAGCAAAGCTATTGGTGTTCTGGTGGTGTGCGCTTTGCAATTCAGACATTTATCAAAGAAAACAAGAAGGACGTCAGCGAATTGGCGGCTCTGCAGGAAGGGCTTAGGACGCAGCAAAGTGCAGCGCTGACTAAATTACGACAGCAGTTGCTCGCCTGCCTGCGAAACCAGAGGAAGGCGGCGGCAGATGAGCTCTGGGATCTGGAGCAGCGTGAACGAAACAGGATAAGCGAGGACCTTGAAGAGCAAACGACGCAACTTCAGGAGGCCTGCGCTAAATTAGAAGAGTAGGGTAAAGATAAGTGTCAAAATTGCACTGATACCTTTGCAAGCCACGAGCACTGACACTTTTGCCGCTTAATACCATTGGCGGAAGCACAACCACTCTGCTCATTGTAGATAACTCGGATGTAATTTGAACGGTTCTGAATTGCGCAGAGCAATCACGAAAGAAGAAGCAGCTCGAGACGAGTACGACAAAGCCATACTAAATATGAGACAACAGAATCAGAGAGGGATGATGCAGCTGGATGCCATTCAATCTCTATCTGATTTCAAGCAAAAGCTATTAAGCAAGATTAATGCATCATTTTTGTCACAGGCCGAAGAGGTAGGATAAGATTCCCTGCATCCGATTTACCATATGTGCACACCTCTCCCAATACTGGCAGTGCCAGCGCCTAGCATTCTTCATTCTCTCTAATAGCAATGCCAAGGATGTGGCTTTTTGCTAATTTTTGAAAAAGTGGCCATCAGCATTGTGGGACTCAGGCGAGGAACAAAGGCATCGACGACCCCAGCGTAGATGAGAGGCTTCTGGTAAGGAATAGTGCGCGCTTTGTAGATGTCTGCGTTTCTTGTGTTTCGGCCACAATGCTGCAAGGAGCACTTTTTGCATACTGACCCTTTGGTGGAAGAGATGTGCAGTTCACCATTTGCGGCGTGGAGCTTTGCTAGCCCCTTTTCAGCCTTCAGCTGCAGAGGCCGTAAAGGCCAGAGATGAACTGTTGCTGGTGCTGCTTCTCTGCTGTGCGGCGACCCTCAGCAAGAATGGAAAAACGCAACTGCTGAGTTGGAGCCATTCATCAACCGTGAGAAGGAGATGTTCAGGCGCTACGCTGATTCGGCTAGCAAGACACAAAAGGAGAATGCCCTCAAAGCATTCGAGGAGTCCAGAGAAAGCCGGCGGAGTCAGGCGGCCCTCACAAGATCGTTGGTGAGTCGCTAGTAAAAATTGAAGCAAAAATTCGGAGAAAAATGAAAAAGAATGCGCTTTGGGCTTCAAAGCCGTTGCCTCATTATTAGATTAATACTGTGGGAACTTAGGCGCACCTTGATTCAAGCAGTTCCCCTCCACGTTGAGCGCACAACTTAATGGCATGCAGGGATACAACACGCCTCCTCCACAATGCAGGCGTCTGTTGTCTTATCTGTTGCTGTTCCTCTTTCTTCAAAGCCCTCACATGCATCATGTGGCATGAGAGCCTGTTTGGGCGCTGCCCTGCTAGCGGGTTCAGCTCTGTTCATGCCTGATATTTGATGCAGGAGCAAGCTGAAGAGGAGGGAGATGAAGAGCTCCGGCGCAAACGCTACGCATTGGGAACGCGCGAAGTTCAGCGGATTGTCTGGCATATTTGTGCACTTCTGTCTTCCGGGAAGCGTGGCTCATCGGAAATTGAAGGGCTGCACCTCATCGTCCCGGAGGATAAAATTGAGGAAACAGTCAACGAGCTGCAGCAGCAGTTGCGCCGTCGTCGCCAGAGGCACCTGGAGTACTGCTTGGCACAACGCAGCATCATGGAAGGAAGTTCAAAAACCGAGCTCGCCATTCTTCAGACCGAATCACTTTTGGGGCTATCGGACCTCACAGATACCGCTGAAGGAATCAGCAGGTGAGTCTCGTTGAAGTGAGTCTGAGAGGCAACTGAGCTGCCAACTGCTTTGCTCCGCTGTAGTCCTGAGATGGGCCCATCGCATATGTCTGCAGCGAGTTCTCTTACTTCAGGGGTTCCGCAATGGTGAACGCAGCCGACGCGTCAGGCGAAATTTTGGAAGTCATAAAGGAGGCCCAGAAGAAGCTCGATGAGGCCCTGGTTGAAATTCAGAAAGAGCAAGAGGTGAAGTGATGAAGTTTACTAGGATTGCTGGAAGCACATGTTAAATTCTTCAGTGCGACTTGAGCTTTTAAATCTGGCATAGATGGCAAGTGCTGAAGTGCTGCCGATCAATCGATTTGCTGCCTTCAGGAGGCAGAAGAACGTGAGAGAGTCGAGCAAGAGGAGGCAATATCCCGACGCAAAATGGCCCACGAGCTAGCAAAACAAAAGCTCAATGAGGAACACGCAGCGAAACTGGCTGAAGCTCCTGAGGACATAAGAGAGCAGCTAATCAAAGGTACAATGAGGATTACAGTTCCTGTGGGAAGAAACTCGTACCCTGCAAGTGGTAAATAATTTCTTGCAGAAGAGTCTGGACCAAATAAGTATAAGCTTTACGGGTTCGACTGAATGAAGTCTGGTTCTGCGCCGCAGAGCATGAAGCTGCGCTTAGCCAAATGGAAGCTGCACTCCAGTCAGATTTAGAAGCACAGGAAAAGGAAACCCAGCGCAGGCTTGAGGAACGTCGTCAGCGTTTGCAGAAAAAGCGGCAACAAGCGGAAGAAGAAAAGCAAAAAGCCATCGACGCAGCCAAGGCCGAGCTTGAGGCTAAAATAGCGGTTGAAGCAAAACAGGTGAGAAATAGGAATCCCTTAACCTGTAATCAGGAACAACAAATCCGTCCTCGCGTGGAAACGCACGAGTAGTTTGGCGCTGAGCTGGTCATGGCTCTTCCTGCAGAAAGAAGATGCAGCAGAGTTGGAAGAACTGCAACGTTTAATCAACGAGAGCACCAACGCCGCTGCTGTTGCCGAGGTGGGCAAGCAGCACTGCCTGTTTTTCTCAGCAACCCTTTCAGAAACACTGCAGAGCTGGAAGAAGGTCGAATTGCTCAACTTGGTCAGAATGAAGTTTCAAAAGAAGAGCTTTGGGTGTTGTTGCAGCTACTAGCTCGGAAGCATAACAAAGAGTCTTCTGCACTCCTTCAAGAGCTCTCTCTGAAGAAGGCAGAAGCAATTAGTGCACTGACTGAAAACTTTTGGAAGGAAAAGGGCGGGAGAACGTACGTAGAGGCACAACGGCCTAGTGTTTTCCGTTGAGCTAGTCCTCTTTTTCTGTTGAGAACTAGACATGCAAATGGTCACTAGCTTTCTGTTTTGGATCTCTTTCAGAGTTGATGGGCGGCCTGATGATGTGCAAGAACTTTACAAGGTGAGACCTGCTACACGAAGAAAGTTGCAAACGTAACATAGATCCGTTTTACAAGCCAGTGCATGGAGGGAAACAAGTGAATCAAGGAAAGAATGTCTGCCCATACTACACTGAATCCTGAATTTTGGAAGCAAGGCCTTTTTATGAGATATTCATTTACCTTCAGGCCGAGTTGCAGGAAAAACTGTTGACAGAAACACAGGCGGTAAGAACCGTTCTCCGACATCTGACTCTGTCAAGCAGGCATTTTGATGCATCAACATTAATTTTGGGATGGGTTCTACTAGATTAACTTTTATAAAGAATGCTTCAAATTTTCAAGCATATCGCTCGCTCCCTAATGGTCTCTAGAAGCATCGATCGGAGAAATGCCCTTGTGGCTAATAAACTGGGTTGTGTCGATTTCAGATGGATGATCGCATAACGCTTCAGCTGCAGGAACTGCAGCATCGACAGGTTACAGAATTGGATGAGTCGATGAAACAAATGGAACGCAGAGCAAAGCTGCAGAGGGAAAATGAGGCGGTCGGTTGGAGCACTAACGAGAGAAAACAAATTCACGATTTGGAATTGCCAAGTTGAAGGCTTGGCCAGTTATGCTACTGCTGGCTCCTTGGTATCAAGGCGAAGTAGTCCGGTGTTTTGGGCCAGTAACGTTATAAGCTGCTTTAAGTTGCCATGTTTGTTAACCACGTGCTGCGCTCAGCAACGTCTGACCGAAGAAGAGCAATACGCTCAGTTGAAAAAAGAAGCTGACGCTGCAGCAGCCGAGGAAGTTGGAGCGATTGAACAGCGCATGAAGGAAGAGCAGGAGAAGATTCTGAAAGAAATGGAGGCAAAAAGGAATGCGTATGACAAGATGCTGGACAAGCTGAAGCACCGCAAAGAATTAGAAGAGAGGCGTGAGGCGCTGCGCCAAGATCAACAGCAACGGCTCAAGGCAGAGGGAAAAGGCGGCGGCTTGCAGTCACTCATGGAGCAGTACGAAGAACACAGAAAGCTGCTTGAAGAAGCATTAGCCGAAGAAGCTGAAAGACAACACAAAAAGGCAAGAGAACGGATCCTTCTTCGGCAAGTTGAGCGAACAGAGAGACTGCACCAGAAGCGCGCTGTAGAGAAGCAACGGTTCCTCCTGAACCAAGAAGAAATCAAGCGGCAAGAACTGGCACTTGTGAGGGCCTCTATGCACTTAGACTGCGCACAAAATCTCACATCAAGGACTTTGGGTGGACGAGATAGGTCTAATCAACTTATAATTTGCGAAAACTCCCCAATGCGCCGTGTAGCCCACTCCCGGAGTCCTGAATTTGCTGCTAAAGCAATCAGTTTTTGCTTTTCTTTTGCTGCCGCTGCTATTTTGTTTCTTGCAACTATAGAACAACGCACGAGCAGGCGCGCAGAGCAGAAGGAACTTGGTGGAAACTTTGAATCAACAAGAGCTGAAGAGAAGGTATACTTACGCTTTCACGACAACAAGCTAGTAGCCACTTTGAATGCTGAATATTGAAGCAACATAACTAGTGATTTCAGAGATTCATTTAATAATTTCCAAATGTAAGCATGATAGCTGAGGCTGACGAGCTGCGCTTTGGCCGGCTCGAGCTTTCCGTGATTCGCAACGTCCGCAAAAGCGAAGGCGAAATGTGCACTGGTTTGCAGAATGGAGTTCGCCCATCGGCTGGAGGAAGAGAAGCACTGGGCTCCGATCTGGAGAGAAATAGTGGAGGAAGAGCAGAACGCGGGCACCTTTGATGCTTGGGACCTTGACGACGAGCAAGTTACATGTGCGTTTCTGCGGAGTTCAACCCCATTGCGAAAGAACAAAGCTCAAAAGCAGACTCTGTTGCAGCAAATTGTTGTTTGTCAAGCAAAGTAAAAGGAGAAATTCATGACATTTCTTCGCTTTCAACTATTTTGCGTGCAGTTGCCGGGCAGTTTGCCACGAACTTGTTGCACACGGAGCGGATGCTGCAGAGTGAAGCTTCTTACATGCGGAAGTTGATTGGAGGCTTCCAGCAATTAAGCGACGTCATATCTTTGATCAAGGCGGCCCCAGAAGACGGCGAAGAGGACGGCCAGAAGAGGGGCAGCAGCAAAGCGTCCAGCAGTAGCGGCAGCAGCAGCAGCAGCAGCTCTTCGAGTGCAGCGGAAAGCTCAGAAAGCACAGAGAGCGACAACTCCGGCTCTAGCAGCGAAGAAAGCAGCTCAGAATCGGAAAGCGACGACAATGAATCTGACTCTGAAAAGGCGTCATCTTCAAGTTCAAGCGAAGAGGAGTCCAGCAGCCCTGCAGCTTCCTCCAGCAGCGATGAGGCTTCATCTTCTCCAGATAGCAGCAGCAGCAGCTCGAGCAGCTCCGGCGGCAGCAGCGACGACAGCAGCAAAAACGAGAGCTCCAGCAGCTCAGAAGACGAGAGCAGCTGAGCTGATGTTTAGTCAAATCGTCAGACAAGCTCGCCTGCTGCTTCTTGCCGCCATTCCCTGTTCACTTGTCCAAGAAGATCATCTCCAGCTCACAGTTTCCCCCTGCTTCAGTTCGCTGTCCTTTGATCTTGCTGCTTATGCCCAAGAGGCGGCGGGAACAGATTTGTGCCTTGGCCGTGGGTTCGCCTGCGAGGCCGTTTTGCTTCAGGCTCTCACTGCAGCAGTGCTGCAGGATGCCTTCCGATTTGCAGCTCTTTACCTTCACCAGCAAGCCAGGCACTCGCTTCAGACTCTTAATTTGAATGTGTTTTGAGCAGCTCTGGTGGTTATGCGTGCACACGGACTTAAGCGAATCCTGGTGTAGGCGGGTACAGAAAATATTTCAAAGTAGTGAAGACAAGCACATATGCTGCACAACGAATATATATATATATATATACATAGTGCCACTCCAGAAGTGTAACACCGCAGTAAACTGCAAGAATAAGCTGAAGTTTGAAGGCATAGGCTACTTTAGACCCTAAGCTTCACTTTCTGAGCTAGTCTCTGAAGTAGCGGCCAGCCACAGAAGCACTATGGTAGGGTAATAGAGTCAGAACTCAAATTGTTGCGCGTTTGTTGGGGCTAAATGTATTTCCAGATGAAACGGAAGCATTTTGTGTGTCGAAAAACGTCTTTTCACTTCTCAGAATGGGAGCATTCCCCGTGTTCAACAAGACTGACCATTCCACGCAAGAAACGTGTGGGCCATTTGGCGTGGCTGTTCTGAAGCCCATAGACAACTTCGCATTCCCTTTTTAGCTGCTGAGGACTCCAGCTTTGGTAGCCGCAGCTGCCCAACTTCAATAGTCAGTGAAGAGTAGCCCAGATATTTGAAGCCGTCAATGTTCTAGTTGTGTTGAGACAATTCTGCACTGCCTAACTAGCAAGGGCCGGACACCGAGGTGTCTACAGTGGCTCAGCCTATCAACAAACGCCTGCATGCACTTATTTTAGTGCCTGCAAATCTAAAATGAACACCAGCCACACTTTGGGGACTAGGATTCAACAGCAGCAAGAGCTGTTTACGTGTTCCCGCTGCCCCAGCCGTGGGAGCTGTTCGGTATATGGTGATTGAGCTAAAAGCCAAGCTATAGGCCTTTCTATTTATTAGAAAACTGGAAATGTGCGGCATTTGGCGAACTTAATTTTAAGGGAACTAACGGCCAGCAAGCCGTTGCATAGTGCAGAAAAGTGCGCGATCACAGACGCCCCGGAGCAGCGCAGGAACCTCGTGCGATATCTGAAATGGGGTGTCTATACGCGTTGTTAGCCGCTGTAACATTTAAAAGTAGTTCCAAATGCTACTATAGACTTTGTTATTTGAAAAATGTAGGATAGATCAGCACGGAAATGGATTCAGTAGCGGGACAAGCGGAGTGTGCACAAAACCGGAGGAACAGCTCGCCCGCAACACCCCTCGTTGCCACTCTCCAGAAGAAAGAATTTCGGATTTTCAAGAAACAAAGACTGAAAATAATGCAAGAGAAAGCCTTTGGCGCACAACCGGCGAGCTCCAGTGCTGGCGTGTTACTTGGCCCCGAGCTCCCACCAGCCCTACCGATCTGGGCGAGAGTGGCCAGAGCTTCAAAGCAGCTTTCGGAGGCCTTTCCAGCCTTACCTTTTCGGAATTGCGGAAATTTCAGGTTAATGTGAGCTGTCTAGTGCTGGAAGTGATGGCGGGGCGCCAGTAGCTGCTGCGGGAGCAGCAGAACCCCGGTGAAACACCCACAGCCACCAGTGTGCAGATCTTCGCAAAGGACTCAGTTTCGCGCGGAAGAAGCCAAGTTTGGGCTGTTAAGTTCGCGCCAGACTTGCTGGCTTTCGCCTGCGGCGCACCGCTGCAAGAAGATGGCGCTGCAGGAGTTCACCGTCGACCTCATTCAACAAGTCATACCCTTTCGTTCCCCCAACCCCCTCGAAGACCCCCGGGAGCACCGGCTCCGCCTGGTACGGCTTTTCCGTTCTACGCAGGCCAAACTGGAGTCAAAGCGAAGCAGCTAGCTGCCCGCGAGTACCCCTTCTGGCCGCTGGCCAGCCCGAGACTAGCAGCTACGAACACTAAGTGCTACAGGGGTGCTCTCAGCCGCTAAAGTTTCGAATCTGCAGCGGATCAAGCAGCAGCAAGACTCGCTAAAAGCTGCGCAGATGGTCTGCTGCAGTTGCTGCAGCTGAGGGCGCGCGGAGCTGCTGCTGCAGCGCCTTTGTGCTGCAGGTCGAGCGGCTGGGCGGCGGCACCTACGGCGATGTGTACCGCGCCGTGGAGGAGCCGGAAGACGGCGTGGGAGGCGGCGAGACTTTCGCAGTTAAATATTATGTTGACGAAACGCGAACTGCAACAGAAGACGGATTGGGCTGCACGACGATTCGCGAGCTTTCCACGATTTCCGTAAGCCGAGTCGTGCGCGGGCGTTCGGGTGTACGTACAGCTCCGCCGCCGCGAGATCGCACCGCCGCGCGTCACTTTTGTTTTTCTGCGTTTTCAGTCCTGCGGCACCCACCCGAACTTGGTTCGCATGCGGTATCTTTTTGTAGATCAGCTTCCGCGTTTGGTGGAAAACATTAATCAGCAGCGAATTCAGTGGGCGCGGCAGCAGCACGCGGCTGCGGACCGCGAAAGCCAGGAGCAGCTGCGGCGGGACCTGCAGACGCAGCTCGCGCAGGAGGAGTTGAAACCCACGCAGGTCTTCGTCTTCGCCGCCTACGAACTCTGCGAAGGAGGCGATCTCAAGAAACTTCTTGCCAAACAAAGAGAAAATAAACCTTCTTCGAGCGTTTCGCCCGAGTGGGGGCTGCCGCTGCGCCACGCCAAACTTCTTGCATTTCAACTTCTGAACGGACTGGCGTTTCTGCACAACGAGAAAGTGCGGCGCCGCCGCCAGCAGCAGCCGCGCCGGCAGCGCAGAAAAGCAAATATAATATAAATTTGAAATTAATTGTTTTTTAATTGCAAAATAATTCATTTCCACCGGAAAAGTGCAAACTTGCAAATGCGCCGCCGCCGCTGTCTGCACTGCCGCACTCGCGGCGCGTCTTGAGCCCGTTTCGCTGTTCATCTGTACAACTCTCATTTATATGTGCAAATATGCGCAATTTGCATTTATATATTTGTATATACTTGCAGCTGGCCTCCAGTTTTCTTTTATTTCTTCAAATGACTTCTTTTTGCTTTCTTCCCAGCTCTGCCACCGAGACCTCAAGCCCGACAACTTGATGTTGACTTCCGAAAACGAAAACTGCGTCCTCAAGATCGGCGACTTGGGGCTCTGCAGGAGTTTCCGAGCGAACGCAGGTGGGGCTTTGCTGCGCGCATGCACCTTTTGCTGCTGCTGCTGCTGCTGCTGCTGCTGCTGCTGCTGTTGCTGCGGCTGCGCCGGCGCGTCTGGGCAGACTGGGTGTGTTAGTGTCTGCGGCTCTTTTTTGCTGCTGCAAGCTGCAGCAGCTTTTGCTGAGTTTGCGTCTCTTGTGAAGCAGCTGGACTTGCCTGAGGGTCCAGAAGCAGCAGCAAATTGTTTTTTTTTGTTTTTTGCTGCTGCAGGAGAAATAACTCCCACTGTCTGCACCATTTACTACCGGCCGCTGGAGGTGCTGCTGGGCCGCATGAAGGGCGACGGCGAGGGCGGCAGCGAGGTGGGTGTGGCAGTCTCGAGTCCGTGCTGCTGCTGCTGCAGCAGCATGCTGCTGCAGCAGCAGCTGCTGCTGCAGCAGCTGTAGCAGCATGCTGCTGCAGCAGCTGCTGCTGCAGCGGAGCAGCAGGACTTAGTGGAGTTTTTGCGTGATTTTGGGGAGTTTCGGCGCGTTTTCCGCGCTGCTGCTGCTGCCGCTGCTGCCGCTGCTGCCGCTGCTGCTGCTGCTGCTGCTGCTGCTGCTGCTGCTGCTGCTGCTGCATGCAAAAGCTTCGCAAAGATGCAAAGAAACCCCAAGACCGCGGCTGCTGCAGGACCCCGGCGCGCACTACGGGCTGGGCGCAGACATCTGGGGCGCTGGCTGCATCATTGCAGAAATGTTTCGCGGCATTCCTTTGTTCAAAGGAACTCAAGAATTCGAAGTTTTAATTCGAGTCACCAAAATCCTCGGAACTCCCACTGAGGCCGAGTGGACCAACTGCACTGCGTCCGTTTAGGGTTTAGGGTTTAGGGTTTGGGGTTTGGGGTTAGGGTTTGGGGTTAGGGTTTGGGGTTTGGGGTTTGGGGTTTAGGGTTTGGGGTTTAGGGTTTAGGGTTTGGGGTTTAGGGTTTGGGGTGTGGGTTTTGGCGCGGGGCGGGGGAGCGGTTTTCGGCCTCCGCGCGAGGGTTTAGGGTTTGGGGTTCAGCGGTGGCGGCTGGGGGTTAGGGGTTAGGGTTTAGGGTTTGGGGTTGGGTAGTCGCGGGAGGGTTTTACAAGGTGTTGACGCGCGAGGGTTTAGGGTTTGGCTGCTTGAGGGTTTAGGGTTTGTTTGCGCGAGGGTTTAGGGTTTGTTTGCTTGAGGGTTTAGGGTTTGTTTGCTTGAGGGTTTAGGGTTTATTTGCTTGAGGGTTTAGGGTTTGTTTGCTTGAGGGTTTAGGGTTTGTTTGCTTGAGGGTTTAGGGTTTGTTTGCGTGAGGGTTTCGGGTTTGGGGCCGCTTAGCGGAGCCAGCGCGTTCCGGCTCCGGCGGGCTGCGCGGCGGGGCGCCAGCCCTTAGGCTTTAGGCTTTAGGGTTTAGGGTTCAGGGTTTAGGGTTTAGGGTTTAGGGTTTAGGGTTTAGGGTTTAGGGTTTGCGCAGGCTGCAGCACTACCCCTTCGGGAACCGGGGGGAAAGCCACTACTTCAGCGAACACGACAAAAGGGCGAACTTAAATGCAGTTCTTTTCGGCAAGTTGGACCTCGATGGTTTGGACTTGTTGTCGAGAATGCTGGACTACAACCCCCACACGCGGATTTCCGCGCAGGAGGCCCTCAGCCACCAGTGGTCAAACCCTAAGCCCTAAACCCTAAACCCTAAACCCTAAACCCTAGCGCGAGCCCAGCCCCGCGCCGCCCCGCAACCCGCAAGCAACACCCCTCTAACCCTAAACCCTCAACGCACACGCAACCCTCCACACGCCTTAAGCCCTAAACCCTCAACACGCCCTAAACCCTAAACCCTCAACACGCCCTAAACCCTAAACCCTCGACACGCTGTAAACCCTAAACCCTCGACACGCCCTAAACCCTAAACCCTCGACACGCCCTAAACCCTCAACACGCCCTACTACCAAACAACAAACCCTAAACCCTAGTTAGGCTCCCAGCGCTGCCTAGGTGTTCCCCAAACCCTAAACCCTAGCAAGGCCCTCAAACCTAGCCAAGCACCAAGCACGCCTAAACCCTAAACCCTAGCCCAACCCTAAACCCTAGCCCAGCCCTTCTCACTCCTAGGAAGCCTAAAACCCTGCGCAAACCCTCTCGAAACCCTAAACCCTCGTGAGGCGCCCGCGCCGCGAACCCTCGCCTAACCCCGCCCCCGCTGCTGCTGCAACCGCCCCCGCTGCTGCTGCTGCTGCTGCTGCTGCTGCTGCTGCTGCTGCTGCTCAGGTTCACCGATGTTTCCTTCGGACTGCTGGACGGGCTGGGGGTTTACAACTGGTTTGTAGATGTTTTGAAGTTTCGACTTGGCGAGAAAACGTTTGCTGCGATGGAGCGACACACTCCCGGGTGTCTGTACACCTCAAAAATTGCACACATTCTTTGCCAAAGAGGATACCGAGGAGCAGCAGTTCAAAGAATCGACAGAGTTTTTGCGGAGATCGGGGGTTTCCAGGAGCCCGAGCAGAGCCACCACTGGAAGCAAGGCACGCGACTGCTGCTGCTGCTGCTGCTGCTGCTGCTGCTGCGGCTGCTGCTGCTGCTGCTGCTGCTGCTGCTGCTGCTGCTGCTGCTGCTGCTGCTGCTGCTGCTGCGGGGGCGGCGGTGGGTGGTTGTGCGGCGGCTGCTGCTGCTGTGGCGGCGAAGGCGGCCGCGGGGGGTTCGGCTGCTGCCGCGGCTGCTGCTGCTGGTCATGCTGCTGCTGCTGCTGGTCATGCTGCTGCTGCTGCTGTTGCTGCTGCTGCGGAGGATGCTCTGGGGAGGGGCGTGCTGCTGCTGTCTTGCGAGGACTGCTGCTGTTGCGCAAGTGCTGCTGCAGTGCTGCTGCTGCGCCCACGGCTACCTGCTTCTGTTGCTGCTGCTGCAGCCAGCAGCCTCGCCGCTCTCCCGCTAAATCCGATCCCCTCCTCGCTGCTGCTGCTGCTGCTGCTGCTGCTGCTGCTGCTGCTGCTTCTCAGTGGTTTGTGCAGAGAAGCTCGCAAGGGCCCGGAGGCAGCGAAAGCAGGCCAAAGAGCAACAAGAGAACTCAGGGGCCCCCACTGCAGCAGCACCTTCTATGGAGGCCCCTCTGGGGGCCCCTGTGGGGGCCCCCGCGGGGAGGGGCCCCGGGGGGCCCCCTGGGGGGGCCCCCAAGGGGGCCCCCGGGGGGCCCCCGCCCCAGGGCGAACAAGAAAATACCCCCAATAGGCCCAACAGCAACTTGCGGGGGGCCCCCTACCCTGCTAGCCGGGGGGCCCCCCTTTGTGGATGTGAAGAGGGTTTAGTTTGTGCTGCGAGGCCCATGAGGAGGGCCCCCCACTCTGTGGGGGGTGGCGGGGCGGACAGCAGCAGCAGCAGCAGCAGCTGCAGCAGCAGCTGCTGCAGCAGCAGCAGCAAAGCCAGCTGGGCCGCCAACAACCAAGGCATATCTTCACTACTCTTTTCAAATCTGCCTGCTGCAGAGGGCCCGGGGGGCCCCTACAGTCTACCTGGGGGGCCCCTGGGGTGCATGGGGGGCCCCCCGGGGGGGGCCCCTCAGGGGGTGGGGGGCCCCCCGGGGGGGGGCCCCCAAGCAGAGGAAAGTCCCCTAGCCGTTGATTGCAACTCGATTGCTGCTGCTATTGTGCGGGCCTCTCAAGGCCTGCAGCCGCTATCTGCTGCTGCTGCTGCTGCTGCTGCAGCAGCAGAAAGCAAGGCGCCCATACACCCCAACTGACAAACTTCTGCTGCTGCTGCTTATTTTTTCTTTAGCTCTAACCCAGCCTAGCGAGGCAACGCCAAACCAACAAATGTGAATTATACACGATGCTAGCTAGCTAGCTAGCTAGCTAGCTAGCTAGCTAGCTAGCTACCTAGCTAGCCAGCCAGCTAGCCAAAGACTTCAGCTTGCTCGTCAACCTACTAGCTAGCTAGCCAGCTCGCTAGCTAGCCAGCTCGCTAGCTAGCCAACCAGCCGGCTAGCTAGCTAGGCATATGAGAGTCTAGCTTGCTCCGCAGCTAACTCGTTAGCTAGCTGGCTAGCTAGCTAGCTAGCTAGCCAGCTAGCTGGCTAGCTAGCCAAGCCCCCCAACGCAGCCTCTATAGCTCCCCTCGCTGCATTATTTTTTTAAATGTTAATTTTCAAAAGGCTAAACTTGAGTTGGGAAATATCCAGGAAGAGGCGCCTCGCTGTCTGTACAGTTCAAATTAGTCCGCGTGAGCTGCGGTGTACAGACAGCTCACGCGGGCCTCACACTTGCATTTACTTTCCTGTCGACATTTATATGTGCATTTATATTCACATTTCATTTATATTTAATTTATATTGCATTTATATTTGCATTTTATTTATATTTATACTTATATTCATTTAAATTTGCTCCAAAGTAAATGCCTGGGGCCCCGTAGACGCGAAGCCTTTGCACATTCATTTGCAGTTTCGGGTGTACGTACACCCCGTCAGTCCGCAAAAGTCAAATAAGAAATGAAGCTGCAAATACACTTTTATAAAGACAACACAATCCAACATAACTCATCCAAAGAAATGCGGCAAAGAGCAGAAAACCTATTCAGGCTGAGAGCCTAGCTAGCCACCCAGCCAGCCAGCCAGCTAGCTAGCTAGCTAGCTAGCTAGCTCACTGGTTAACTAGTAGCGAGACATGGGCGTTTGGCCTGCCCACTAGCTCGCCGGCTAAGTAGCTAGCTAGCTAGCTAGCTAGCTAGCTAGCTCCAATTGGAGGGCGCCCACACGAGGCATACGGGAGCCTAGCTAGCCTGCACAGCTAGCTAGGCAGCCCCAAAAGGGGGCGGCAGCTAGCTAGCAAGCTAGCTAGCTTGAAAGCAGCCAGCTAGCTAGTCCGCCAGCCAGCCAGCTAGCCAGCAATGAGCACAGCTAGCTGGCTAGTAGCTAGCTAGCTAGCCAGCTAGCTAGCCAGCTAGCTAGCCAGCTAGCTAGCTGGTTGGCTAGCTAGCTAGCTGGCTGGCTAGCTAGCTAGCTGGCTAGCTAGCTAGCTAGCTAGCTGGCTGGCTAGCTAGCTAGCTGGCTAGCTAGCTAGCTAGCTAGCTAGCCAGCTCACTGCGGCTTTTGTTTGGCTGCATCGGCCACGCCTTTGGCGGGGCGGTTTCTTTTGTTGATGATGTGTTTGTAAACGAAAAGACAAATAAAAAGAAGAGAAAAAGAAAATAAATAAACAGCATCTCCTGCGCCGTGGCGCTCGAGGGCCTCAGCAGCAGCAGCAAGCCGCTGCGCTGCTGCCAGCTGCTGCAGCAGGGCCGGCGGCGAGAGGTAGCAGCAGCAGCAAATGTAGAGACACACCGGCGCCCACAGGTACTGCAGCAGCAGCAGCAGCAGCAGCAGCAGCACAGACACTCCCGCCCCGACAGGTACTGCAGCAGCAGCAGCTGCTGCTGCAGCGGCAGCAGCAACAGCAGCGAGAACAGCAGCATCATCAGCAGAGAAGCAGCAGCAGCAAAACAGCAGCAACCCAGCTGCAGCAGCATGAACATTATCAGCAGCAAAACAGCAGCAGCTAAACAGCAGCAGAAAAACGGCAGAAAACAGCAGCAGCAGCAGCAAATCACCGACAGCAGCAGCAGCAGCAAGACAGCAGCAGCAGCAGCAGCAAATCAGTGACTGGGGCGCTTCTCTCAACTGGCTTTCCAGGGAGCAGCAAATGCATTTAATTAAAGCTTTATAATTATTTAATTAAATAAAATAAAATAAAATAAAATAAATAATTTAAATAATTTAAATAATTTAAATTAAATTAATTTAAAAAACTCACCAACAGCGAACGCACATGCAGCTTCAGGCGGGCGGCGATGAGCTCCAAACACAAAAGAGAAAAGAAAATAATTTGAAGACCCAAAGGGGGTTTAAAGAAGAAACTCTGAAGAAAAAACAAACAAATAAATTATTTATTTTTATTTATTTAATTTAAATCATTTTAAAATATTATTTATTCCTATTTTCCGAGAAAAAAGCAAAGAAAACCAGCAGCAGCAGCAGCAGCAGCAGCAGCAGCAGCAGCAGCAGAAGCAGCAGCAGCAGCAGCAGCAGCAGCAGCAGCAGATTTCGTACAGCGGCGAAGAAACAAACGCCAGGCAGGAACCGCGGCAGGTGCTCGCGAGACATCAGCTTTATCACAAGCCTACACGCAAACCCTAAACCCTAAACCCTAAACCCTAAACCCTAAACCCTAATTCCAAGCCCTAAAACCCTAAACCCTAGAACCGATAAAGGGCTAAACCACAAGAAGCGGTTCCCCGAAAAGAGAGATCCGAGGGCAACCCAAACCCCAAACCCTAAACCCCAAACCCTAATCCCCAAAACCCTAATCCCCAAACCCTAAACCCGAAACCCTAAATCGCAAACCCTAAACCCTAAACCCTAAACCCTAAACTCTAAACCCTAAACCCTAGCTGACTTCGCGGACTGGACGAATGAAAAGGCCACGGACAAAGCAAGGGCGCAGACGCCGACTGTGATTTGCTGCTGCTGCTGCTGCAGGAAGGTGCTGCCAAGAGCCTCAGCAACTGCTGCAGCAGCAGCAGCAGCAGCAGCAGCAGCAGCAGCAAGCCAGGGCCCCACCCACGGCAGCAAAGCCAAACCCTCACAAAGCGGCAGCGAAAACAAAAAAGGGTTTGCTGCACTCAGCAGCAGCAAACCCGGAATCACCAGCAAGTTCAGCTCATCCACCTGCACCACAAACCCTAAACCCTAAACCCTAAACCCTAAACCCTAAACCCTAAACCCTAAAAGCGCAAAACTCCGCTTGAGCGCCCTCCTGCCGGCCCTCCCCCAGCTACCCCCAACCCCCACCAAACCCCGAACCCGTTGGGGGTTGGGGTTTGGGGTTTGG